ATTACAATCTAACCATTTACTAAGGGAAAAACTAAGGTCCTTCCTTACAGTTATTGTCATTTAACTTAAGATAATTTGTGCACGCTTTATTTTATCCTGGCCTTGTAATTTTTAATTTCTCTATTAATCCACATCCTGACTTGATGTTTAAAATCCTACTTCTAACACCACTAATGACATGGCTTCCTCCAAGGAGTCTACTGAGGTTGTATATCTTAAAATTCCGAATTTCATGTTTTCATTTGCTTTCTGTAGGGTTTATTTCACCAGTTCTTGGTATTGGGAGCCGGTCAAGTCGTGGATTCGCTCCCCCGTTGGAGGTTTATTTAACTATGCAGATGGCTGCAGTTGCCATACGTGAACACCGCCTTTTTCCTCTCGTCAAAGTGCACAATTCCATCTACTTTTGAGCCTACCTTACTACTAACTTGACTTGCTTGATAGTAAATGGAGATTTCTAAAAAAACTTGTGCCGACTTATTTTATTTTAATATGGGAAATACACCCTCGTGTCCTTGTATAGTTCATCATTTTTATGAGAGAATGCTACTAAGAATGATTCTTTGGAATTCAATTTTAATTTGCAGGAAGGCACAAATAAAACTCCCCATAGATGCATAAGAAATTACTCTTGCATTTTAAAGTATGCGTAATGTGTGAGTCTGGTATTTGCGTTTAGGGACTTCGAGATACCTTAGTCCAATACGACAAAATTTACGTTTTATTTCCAACAGTACTCAGAAATAGAGCCAAAATGATAAAACAATGCATAAAATCATGCATTTTAAATGGGCATCATTTATACTAAAGAATCTGTCATTGCATTGACCAATGCGCCATGAAGGAAGAATCAAGTCTATACCTGTCGCCAGAACTTCTACCGTTAACTTTGTGCCAATAAATCAGGCGCCACTAGCCAATCGGTAAGGCTAGTTCATTGTAAATAAGGATTGTTTCCTTTTTGAATGGTGGTTCCTTTTATAGACATGGTCAAAACTTTCTTGCAAAATAGTATCTGAATTTTTTGTCAACCTTCTTGGGTTCAAGTTAAGCCAAAAAATATGTCGCAAATCGTAATTTGGCACATAGTGATGCCAAAATCTAGCCAAGTTCAACTTCGTTTATCAGCACTTAGGATGCTATATCTCCAAGCCCATCATTTAGCTTTGAAGTCATTTTTGTTGCGCAAAGAAATAAATTATCGCTGGCACAAACCAACGGTAGAAGAACGCAACAATTTAAAATTTCGAGGTAACCTAAGGGCTCCATCGCGTTCGTGAAGCATCACGGAAATTCTAGTAACGTTGAAAGCACCGCAATCATGGCAGTCTTGTACTAATTTTTGATTTCTTTTCCGGCAAAAGTGTAACTGTTTCATACTTGAGGTATCACTAGTGTTCAGCTTTAACGATAAAATACACATTACTTACTCTTGACCGGAAGTACTAGGAAATTTTCCTCCAGACACAATCTCAGAGTTACAATGCGATAATCTCATCGCGTTAAACTTTTCTTACTTCATAATAATCATCCTGATGAAATGATTTTTCACTAAGACTTGTGTTAATTAAGCATTCAAGAGTATACAGCTTGTTTGGGAATTTGAGTTAAAGAAGCCACATCGTGCCACTGTTGTGTCTATTTTCTTCCACGAGGACTTAAAGATACTCTGTAATCTATTTTGTAATAAATAGTAGGGACTAAAGTAGACTTTAAAAAACCAAGGTCATCATATCTCAAATTTCTTTCCACTAACTGTAGAAATTGTCCATTTAGCAAGAAATTACAGATACCTTTCGACGACTTTCAACAATACTTAATAAGAACGCATAGAGACAAAGACGCGCAAAACCATCTTTCGCCCCCTAAGCGCTCTGAACATTTAGGTACGAAATTATGCTTTTTGTGCCAAGATTCACAATTCCCATGAATACTTAAGTGATGAGATTGGCTTAGCCTACACCCCATTTCAATTTTAACCAATGCATCGTACATGTAATGTAAGCATCCAACGATGCACGAAGGCCAGTTTTATAAATTTGCTGTGCACGCCTAATACACGAATTTCAACTCCCATAGGCCCCCACAAGTACGGTCAAGAAAATGCAAAATAGACAGTCTTCCCTCATGATAACCATCATGATTGGACGTAATCAGGCTTCTCAAAGCACTTTTGCTTCAAGTAAATAACAGATTGCTTACGGTGGGTTTGTTAAGGGTTTATAATATAATTCACATGCAAGAATATTTCCTCAACGTTGATTATCCTTATTGAAAAACTTACAAGCTGCTATTTTGGGGAAATGATTAAACTGTCCTGTGATTTCTATCCCTCGTACACACTCAGACAGGTACACAATTGCCTCAATGCGTAGGCGAATGTCTTGGTTAGCCACGGAGGTACCAATCTGATGCAGGCAGCAGTTGGCTGTCTATCGCATTACTTCGAGCTCTGTGAGTGGAGCGTACTCTGGAGGCGCTTGACGCGAACCGAGGTACGGACAGGCGGGCGGGCGACCTTCCCATTGGATCAATACTTCTCCGACAGCATTTGGTCGAGCGGCGATGGTGCGTCCGGTCGTGCGGCCGTTTCTTGTCGCCTTGGCACTATTGCTGACTTCTTCCCCGGCGTTTTCCCATCGCAGCTCCACATACTACGACTCAAAGGATGGAATAGGGATTTATCCTTTCGACAAATCAGAAGAGGAGGATGATTTTTCTTTTGATGATGTGTCTGGTAGTACCAGCTTATTTTTATCATAAAGCATTTGAAGGATTATTGTGAGCAGAGATTCACTTTCCTAAAGCAACAAGACATGTTCACTCATTTCAGCCTTAACTGCATTTTGTGCAAATGGGCAAAATATTGAATAACTTTCGATTTATACCGTTTGGTTCTACTTGCCGTTGCTTTACTATTCAACAGTCGTTGAATATGCTTCAGATGAAGCGGTCAGCTAAAAATAGGCTTTGTTTTCATTTATTAGAATTAGGCCATCTTGGTATAGTAATTGTTCAAATGCAAAATTCTTCTCAGACTACAAGGTTTGTAGCATTACAGTGTGGTTCATTAATTCCAACCTTTTTTGACCTCAAAGAGGCTGTAGCAGTTAAGATGTTGCTGTGCGCACGAGATTTCGCTGCTCGCTCTTGGCATAGTAGAGTGAGAAAAAAAATAAGATCAATCCCAAGGTCTAACATCCCTTAAAGACGCTGACCTTGTGATTCAACCGTTGCTGTAACGTGGCATTTAGGTTTGGGGCTCATGGATCCATTTTTTGACTTGTGACACACTATGACAACTCCATCAGTGCCATTGCAAGCGCTTATTTGTGGCTGTTTCTTTTAGACCATTTTCCAAACAAGTGGAGTCTCAGCGCCGAGTTTGATAGCAATACGCATTTTACGTCACCACCGAGTATGATGGATACCTTCGAAAAATTCAAACGTCAGGCTGTGAAATGTGAGTCATCTTACTTTTGTTGTTCTAGTCGTAATTGTAGTGATTCGTGTATAAAATAAAGCATTATTTGGATAGCTGATCAAATAAGCAACATACATATATCAACATATTGACCACATAAGGTTATATTCCCACCATTTTGCTCATAATTCGCCTCACACTATGCACACGGTAGCGACTTGGTACTCGAATAAACCTAAACTTTATATATTTTTTTTTAATTTATCCATTAAGAAGTAACCTCAATTCTGAAATTAGGCAGTTTCTAATCCGCCATGACTTTTTTCCTGCTTAAATTTTCCAGAAAATGAGCAGCACCGTCACATTTTAATTTGGTAATCATACACTTATGGATAGGTTTGTGTGCCACAATACATTCTGTAACCAAAATTTTCATTTCACCCATCAGTCATCCACCACTAGTTCGGATGCTTCGTTTTCCGCTACCAGACGCTATCAGTCTACTTCCACTCGCTTTCATACTATTTTCGTACTTGTACATAGTCATCTATAGTATTTTAACATGATAATTTTTATAAATTCACGGTTTAAACACTTCCTTTCTGAGCTCAAAACGTCGCATCTGCAGGTGGTGGTGTAATGATACAATAGTGTGGTCCATGCTTAAATAATTCCCACTGCATAAAAAAAAGTAGGTTTAAATGGATTTCGTCGCATAAACGTTGCGCTATTGTGTAAATGACGCTAATGACAGTGAAATTGACTAACGGTTTTCGTGGGTCTGCTTTCTCTTTCGGGTTGTTGATGCAGCTCATAGCCTACCAGTTTTAAAAGCAAGCTTCGATTGATAAAAATAGGCTCAACGTGATTTTACTCCTTTCTCAGTAAAGCGTTGACTTGGTGGTCTTACATCAATCTGCAGCATTATCAACAGCAGGTGACTTTGCCCTTCCTCCCCATCTTAGATAAACCCGCTCACGCATCGTTATCGTTCCCGTAGGTAGATAAACTACATGAACAGAGTGTGCCTGTTCTAAATCTTGAAACATTACTGCGTATATCCAAAACATCACTTTTTTCAATCGTTTAAACTGATTGCCTGTCGTAGATTCAGTCGCGTATATATACAGTGGACTATTCAAACATTATGAAATTGGTTAATATCATCTAAACTGGTAATCTTTCAATATATGAAGCTACAACCTGGCTCCTGGGTTCTATTTTTGTGTCTTAGACCTTAATTGCTTTTATTATAGCTGTTGTGCCAGGGGACGAGACAGTTAGATTAAAAGAAGGCGGATCATCGAGCCCGAGACTTAATACTTCTTTGAGCTGGCAAACAGCAAGTAAGCTTTGTTTTTCTGAGCACTTTCGAGAAGTTTTTTTATTAACTCATTTGTTGTTTCACAAAAGCGCTGATATCTGTTCTTTGCGTGGGAGCGGTCGTCGTAGGTGTGATACTTGGAGTTCTTTACTGGCCAAAGTAAGTTTCATTTATTCTCTCTCATTTTTGCTCCTTAGATTGCAGCCATTGTGGTTCCAGTCTCATGGTCATCCATACGATATTAATTTACCTGCCCTTAGTAAATCTAGCTAGCAAATTGGAATTTTTAGCCCCTAATTTTTTATTGTTAATCTCAGGCACTTTTTGCTTACACACCCTGGTTCACCGTCTTGGTATCATCGAGCGCATTTTTTGTAAATTTGCAAAAAATTGAGTCCCTTTTGGGTGTTACCTAAAATTGAAGCGAATTTTCATCCTCACACAATGCCCCGCATTTTGTACCTAAAATTGGTGGTTAAGCAAAAACAAAAACCATTTTTAATAGCATTGTTACCTTAAATATGGGTCAAGGAGTAGGAAGATCTGTTTATCGAGGTTTAGAGTGACCTAGATATAACATTTCGTCCTTTTACTAATCAACTACTTCTGATTTTACTCATCACACTGCTCTACAAATCACCATCAGCCTAAAAAACGGATTTCATAATATCTTTGATAAGACTAAGCGTCACTGCTGCTAAACTATGACCTTGGATTCACCCTTCACACTTCAACTTTACAGAGCTGCCTTTGGTGAGAGGAGGGATTCCCTTGAGGGCAGTAAGAGGGCAGAAGCCGTTGGAAGTCAAAGCCATGTTAGTGACAGATCGTTAGCCCACTCTGCACAGATGTACCACTACCAGCAGCAAAAACAACAGATGCTTGCAATGGAACAGTGAGTCTGCTCTCCCTTTTCTTATCCCCCCAAAAACCGAAGCATGGAAACTGGGATACCGCTTGCGTAGTTATTGAGCATGACAAAAAAGTCTGTTCTACGTCTAATCCACTGCAGATCTATTGCCGTAGCTTGGTTGGTTTTTTGTCGCCTTTAACCTAATTGGCGTCTAATGCATTCGCATCGATATGGTAGGCTGAATGCATTGCTGACAAGTGGTGATTCAATTTCACTGAAGTTTACTATCTGAAATAAAATGCTAAGGTGCAAAAGGTTATTGTAAAGTTTTGAGACTCAATTCCAGTGGAATCTCTCAGTATCTCCTTTGTAGTCATTATTTATTAAATTATGTATTTTGGGAACCTAATTGTGCCCTAAGATATGACAGATGTCCAGAGGCTCGATCTTGTTATTAGCCTAATTGAAGTGGTGCATGTAATAGCTGAAGTGTGTCCCAGTTTCAGTGTGGATGGAAGCCTATACTTCCCGTAGGTCCTATCAGAGCGCGATGTCTGAATGTTAACTAATATCTGCGATGAGGTCGGAATGCTTGTTCCTATTTACCTTGCAATGCCAAAGCAAGCAACGATTGGCACTTTCTTTACTAATGGTACTATATCAACTCAACACAAAGTCTTGCTGTTTCATGATTTTTAAACCTACCATCGACGCCCCCATTGTAATTTAAGTTCCTAATATTTCCCTTGCTTGATGCTTAAATTTATTTTGTCCGATCGCCGCCCCTACGGGTAGCGTACTTCTTTAAAACAATGCGTTTTGGCTTTTCCATATTAGTTTCAACCATAAAATTGGGCTATTCCACCTCGTTTTATTTAGGGCGGCGGGAAGGAATCGCAGCTCGGACAGCAACTCGGATAGCGAGGGCGAGGAGCCAGACGTTAATGTCTACGAATGCCCTGGATTGGCGACAGTAGGTCAAATTTTCAATTTAAAGTTCGTCTAAATGTCAAGAATCGGGGTCAAGATACTTCCTAGAGAATACTGCTCTGCATATGTCAGGAGGTCGGCGTTCCGTTTAAGATTTGCCATTTGTCCAACGATCAGGTGTTACAATTGGCTGAGTTTTCGATCTCAACGGAAACTTGGATTCTGAACATTTCAAACGAGCGATTCGACCCTTTCTGTACACAGCAATTAGCTTCCCTTGTTATATTGAGAACAAGAATTTGTCAAGCTTACACTAGCCTAAAATTGAGGGATCGTCCCAAAACATGCGTCCTTAAGGGCCGTTTCTGGATGCTACTGTATTTTGCTCATCGCGTGATGAAGAGATATGTTTTCCTATCTTCTCCATCCATCCACTTAAACTTGACTTGGGATTTCTGAGTAATTTTGCGATAAATCGAAACCACATAATTTCCAGTCTTATAATCCTGTTTGAACGTTTTGTCTTCTTGTACGTTGAACAACTAGGAGTATTGGTACAATCTAACCAGAGCCTTAAGTGGACCAAATTTTGGGCTGAATTCAAACTAAACGTCGTCACTACCGGCGCCAAAAAAACAACTTTGATAAAATACTTCGATTTAATTACGGCTTTTGATGTAGCAATGCCTGTTCAGTAAAATCTCACAAATACTTCAAGGGATTTCTTAAAAATTAACTTAATTTTATGGGACTCGGGCATGGAGCAAATAGATGCACACAAAACTGCCTTATCCTTGTCTGCATATAATTCTTTTAATGATCCATACCCAGCATTTGTTCTTTGTGGGATAAAGACCGAAACATTTTTTCCAGATTTAAATTTCATTTAATTGTCACATTGGTATCTGGCACAGTGGTATTATCATGCGATCTGTTTAAAGTTCTTGTCAATTGACCTAACCTCCGCCGTGAGGCAATTTAAGCTCTGATTATTGTTTGCATCTTTTTCATGAAAGGCCAGCGAGCTCGAGGTAAAAAATCCCTTGTTCGAAGATGAACATGGTGAAGGCATCCGAGCGTCATCTGCGAGGAGCTCCAAGTAGGCCCGAGATGCGCTACTGTTCCAGGTGCTGGCTATGGCGAAGGCGATATTGTTCAATCTGTGTATGTGCCCATTTCTTCGCAGTATTTTCGCCGTTGTCGAGTCTATAACGCTCTTCCAGCCTTCCCTTCCTCTTTTTCACTCACTCTTCAAATAACTAGATGTGTATCGCCGTTGCGTGATGTGTCCTTTTTTTCCTCAAACAGTCTTATCCATTCCAACTCTCTCTATCCCTGTCCTCTATCCTAGTGGCGAATTCGCTCAGAATTATTTTCGTACTGTATTCTGATCCATTTGTCCTGTATTTGGTCTATTGTAATAAAAAATTTTGGTCCCCAATCATTATATCTCCAATTTCCTTCTTTCAGAAGGCTTATTTTCTTTAAAAGTGATTTGGAATTTTGGACATTTGTGAAAGTGACTCTACTTGACCTGGGTAAAAGTTATGAATTCGGATCAAATAAGAAGTCTCAGTGGGGTATTCGGTACTGTTCCATCGTCCATCGAGGGCTCAGCTGCATAAGCCATCTAGCTAGGACTCCGGCAGGCAGCTTTTGAGGCATCAAAGACTTCGGTTGGCAAACTGCTTGTGAGCGTGTTCTCCGATAATTGTGCAAGCTTAACCTAATAATTTATTACTTTTGTATATTTGCCTACCCTCAAAGCAAATAGAAGTACTTTAAGGGGGAAACTCAGAAGTCTACAAAAAATAATGTTGGGAATTATGATTGTTAGGACTTTAGGTAGTTCCGAATGTAGCTGAAATTACCTGCTTTAAAACATTGGTGGGTATGCTTAGAAAAATTTATAATTTTTGAAATGGACTTAAGGTATGTTAAACTTCCTGGCATATAACATTTAACCAGAAACAAATTACTATGACCTAATAAACAAGAATAAGTTGGTTAAATGCAACAGCTTATCCACCGTTATACAGTAAGTGAACTAACAGGACTGAGTAATCTTACATGAAAGTCGCGCATTAAACTGCAGATCGAATGCGCCATCTGGGGATTTTTTATCATGCAAGCATTAGCTTAAGGTTCTTCTTCATAAAACTCAGTACATTTTAATGAAAACGACTTTGTTAATTCTATTTATAAGCAACTGCTATTTTAGTCCATCATTCGTCACTCATCTACGATCTTTGTCTGACAGGTTTCCTTCAAGGACTCGTTAAGGCTGTATTTACATCGCCTTGCTTGTCCTTTATCCATTTTAGTACGTTGGAATTTCATGCCAGGTTTAATTCTACCTTATTACTAGGCTGAATATAACATTATACCTACGAAAATAGACTCATTTTAAAATGAAGGCATGCGCCTAAGCTGTTTTTGAACTGTTGGAGATTTGAACAAATTCAACATAAACTTATGCAGCTTGAATTTACAATACCTGTCGGAGAAACGGCAGCACACTAAAAGTCATTTGTCTGACAACTGCTAGAAAAGCGGTTGTGAAGTGATGGAAACACTGACAACTGCATCTTCTCGACTTCATTCGAGTTCACCCTACTACTGCCATCAGTTTCTCGTTCACAAAGTGCGTTGTAAACGCTCCACCACTTTAATCTTCATTACTGCGTCTGGAACTAGGTTACGTACCGTAGTCCCTTTTCTACTCAAACAATTGGGAGGATTTATTAACAAGTCGAATAATGAAAGGGCAATTCCTTTTTTTTGGAACCCCCCCAATTACATCATTCACGAGACCCTGGTACCTGGAATTTAAAATGCACCTTGTGTTTTCTGCACGAGATTGAGACATTAGGACTGTTGGAAGAGTTGGTATGCAGCAATGATTACAATTATATAGACACAAATTTTTACAGGTAGGGAGTATTTTGGGATTTTTCTAAAGCAAACTGTAGTCATGTGTGGGTCCATAGCTAGTAGGCACTGTTCAGGTTGGGACAGTAAAAATTCGATTACTTTAGTAAAACTGGAAGTATTATGGCTGGGAATCAGTACCGATGGAGGATTGAAGAAAAGCTAGTGTCTTGTTTGTGCATAGAAAATAAATTCACCTAGCCGAGGGAGACTGCCTCATTTGCGCACCAATGCCACATTTAAGCTGTCATGAGTCATACGACAGGTACTTCAGCTACACACCACATCGCAATCTGCATAATGCCTCGCATTCTCGAACTTGGATTGGGCTATTGGCTGAACCAAGGTTACCAGCCTCCTATTCTGCATCAAGTGAGTTTTACACTGTGGTGTGCGCACAAAAGTAGCATATACTAGTTGCACCATCTTCGAGACAGATTAGCACCACCAGCATGGATCTACAACTTAAACAGGCCAAATTAAGAGTAAGTTCTTTACGCGATTTATGTGGCCTCCATCTGACTTATCCTCACACTAAAGGCAACTTTCATGTGCTAAATATTGCCCTTGAGGTGGCCTTATGATCGACCTTCCCATCGTTAGGAATCAATATACTGTGAGGGATTACCCTCGGGCATGTTCCATAATCTAGTGAACTTCTATAAGTTTATTAAGCCCATTTTGAGCTCATTGTTAATTACCACTATCCAACGTTCAAATATCTCTAACCCTTAAAATTTAGTATTCATATTTCCCTATTAACTTTCCTAGCTGCTTTACTTCAACATTCGTGGTCGCGCAGAGTTGATTCGACTGGTGCTGAATGCCGCGGAGAAGGACTTCCAGGATGTGCGTGTAAGTAGCACCGAGTGGCCCTCACTGAAGGCCCAGATGCCCTTCAACCAGCTACCTGTGCTGGAAGTCACCACGCCGAGGGGTGAGAAAGTTATGCTCACGGAGAGCATGGCCATCGCTCGTCTGCTGGCGCGCACCTTCGGCCTCTACAGTGATGACGCTGCAGAAGTCTACCTAATTGAGCGAATGAACTCTCTTGTAAGTGTATTGCCCCTCGTTAATATTTCATAAAGTCAAACGGTGAATTTAAAACATCCTAGCTGATGGGACACAGAAATGACGCCTCGTTTATAGGAAGGGGAAAATTAGAATTTGACAATTTAGTTTAGACCTACTTGCAAAAACGATTCGAACCTATAATGTTCTAGCGATATGGACACATTTATTCGTATTTTACTGCTGGTAACTGTTAATAAAACAGATTTCATATTGCGCAAAAAATCTGCCATTCGAGGACTCAATGCAGTGATGTCCTGCTCATTCCAAGGATGACTGACTTAAGCAGCATTTTAACATTTAAGCATTAGTAAAGTGAATGGTAGGCAACCTCACCAAACGTTATCGCTTCATGCCAGAGGGTGGATTATGGTCAGCTGATTAGAACTCGGCTCACCCTTACCACGATTTTTTTGAGACGGATGAAGAATCAAACGGATATTTACTAGGAAACTACAAAGGACTCTATACGATTTAGGATACCTGCCATTGCATTTCTACGAATCTTGCAAAAAAAATCGGAGTAGCGTAATTTAGACAATCTTTTTCATGGAATGGTACCAACACGCTAGTGATAATATTCTTACATGCCAATGAAATTATCTCACACAACTTTGGGGACTTAAAACTGCTGATTGAGAGGTAAGGTAAAGTGATGGAACAATACAACAACACAAATTACGACGAGTTTCCGTTTTGTAGACAAGTTCCCTCTTGGAGGAAATCTACGCCCTGGGCTTGAAGAAGGTCGACAGTTTTAAAAAATTGGTTGAAGCAGAGCACGTGCACGAATACATGGACGTAAGTCTGCCACCTATCCCATTATTGAGGTCGTCAGTAGGTATTGCACTTTCTTCTGTCTGTGCTTTATCACCGCCGACATCCGTCTCAACAAGGCAGAGAGATGCAACCTTGGTCTAGCGCATAGGGCATAAGAGGCAAATGGCGCTCTTTCCGAGATTGAAGCTTAAAGCCCTAGACTCTGCGATTGACGTAACGACTAATCGCAACTAAGCTAACCGCGATCTCGTATCACACAGTAGTGCTTAGAGGGCTACTCTACTAACTTCTAAAAAACGCCTCACTTCCCTTTCGAAATTTTTTTGAAGGCAATTGAGATGGCCCTGAAAGAGCGAAAGAGCACATTCACCGCGGGACCTCAGGTCACCTTAGCCGACCTCCAAGTGATAGTTCTAATCGACACGATGGACAAATTTCTTGCGAACACGAAACACGACTGCAAGGACGAACTGGACAAAATCAAGGAAAACGTTATGAAGGCAAAGCCTGGCGTCGCCAGATACCTGCGTTCACGCCCACTTACCGATTTCTAATGTCAAACCCTTACATTTTCGGCGTTATTGTTAGGATTTTTAGTTTCTATGGTATTTAAAATGAAGTTGGTGCCACCATTCCTGAATTTAATGAGTGTGCAGAAGGCAAGCGAAGCATGACATAAACTAAATAGTGTATAGAGACTCTGTGAACCTTAGAAATAAATATAGCACGTGAGTGCTGAATAAACATTGTCCAACTACAACTGACTGTAGGAGGCAAATGCGTAATGTAAAACTCCTTTCCCATTATTCAGCCGAAAAAATGCGGGAAGACACGTCTTTGATAAGCCACGCAACGCTGTTCAGAAGGTTTTCCCCCGTTACAGCACTACAGCCGTAAATACTCCAGTGATGTGTCGTAATATCTCTGAGATTGAGCGCTTCAGCTATCTCTGCAGGTTTTAATGCACCTTGTAGATCCTACAGAACACAAAGGTTGGGATCGAGAATAGACCTTAAATGGTAAATGGCCGTTAAAGTAAAAGGAATAATTGTAATAGAAGACCTACACTGATGGCAACACACGGAAAAAAAACTGAAAGCACAAAACAATGGGCAATCCAAGAGTTCACCTGTTTATTCGCTAGTACGAGAAGGGTTGCTCCAACCAATCGTTCTTCCACTAACAGCTTGTTTAATTCTTCACGACAGTCGTCTAACCGTAGCCGGTCGGAACTGTCGACGACCCAAATGAGAGCATCCGTAGTCTCAAAGTAATTGCGCCAATAGGAGCGCAAGGAATGCTGACCACCCACGTCCCAAGCATTCAGCCTGTAGCCCATATACTCCAAAGTATGAATACTGAATCCCAGAGTAGGTGCGATTGTAGATATGTCCTCACCATTAAATTTTTTGACAATAGTTGTCTTGCCAGCGTTATCTAATCCACTGCATAACAGAGTGTTAGTACACAAAAAACTTATGAATTCAAGTCAAAGTACTAACAAGGACTGTAATGAAATAGAATAACGTCGATGGGGCGCAAAATGTCATGTAATCATCATGGACTACATTATCTAGTGCCCTAAGTTATTAAAAGTAAAGACTATCTCAGAATGTTCAAATGTGCACTGAAAAACCACAACAAACTAATACCAGATTTACAGGATAAGGACCCGAATTTCCCGTTCCTTTTGTTTTAGCTTCCTTAGAATGGTCATCAGGCCCATAGTTACGATGAATGACTAGGCTATTGGGGGAACGTAAATATTCAGGCCAGTACTTCTAACGCAAGCACCAATAAGCATTTCGGAGGCTTTAGCAATGCAGATAACAATCATTTCATAACGCATTTAATTAATTTACACATTTTGAAGGCGCACCTGTTCTTGATCCCACGTGAGGTTTCTTTTTAAATTTGCGAAGACATGATAATATATCCCGGACCTAAGTTTAAGATTGGAGAGAATATGCACGACTCCCCAATTCACACCCAGATTTTATCGACCCGGACCGGTACAGAGAAGGCTTACCACTACCGTATAGGAATGGTCGGGTGGCTAAGCTACCAAACAAGTATATTTTGCAGTATGTAAAACATTCGCGTATTTAATCATGAAATTGGAAATATACCGTCTCAAATAATGCTTCTAGTTTTTATTGCTATGTCAGATTCGTTATAACGGCAACAATATTTTTGTATTAGTCGGCTCTATTGCTATGCAGAAAGCGCTCTTTTGCGAATATTCACAATCGTCTGGGGCCTTCCAGGAAGTAGTAGCGGACCAAAGCATCATAGAAGTACATATATGGCCAAAGTATAGAAGAGTTGAGAAACTACTAACATGATGCGAATACCGCGCCCCACAGTGGGAGACCAATTTGCGGAAAGCGAAATGCCCCATAGTCCAGCATAGCTACAATTTCAAACCGCTACAGTTCATTAGAGCTAATTCTTCATAGATTGTATCCGTTTTTCCTGCGGTAAACCTATACGAACCAGTTTTTGGGGCTTCGAAGGCCAATGTATAATGTCAAGCTGCCCCATGCCTGTTTTAAAGGTTTTTGTTTATTTGTTTTTATTAAAATGCTCCTCAAGTTTGGAGTCCAAAAACATTTAGTTCTCTCGGGAACCAATTACCCTACTGACAAGTTATGGTACTTTCAAAACCAAGTACGTCATACTCCACTATTGATCAAATGGCGACCCCGGTGCTGCATCAGCCATCCCCGGCCTAGCTCAAAGCACTCCTCCCAGCCTTATTTTCTGTCACGTGATAGCGTTTACGAATCCCCTGTACTTGTCGCGAAGCCAACACCGAGAGCCTGTGGGAAAATCAGATTTACGATGCAATTTTGTGCTGCCACTTATTCCGTCCAGTTGCACCAAATTACATTACCACGACAGAGGACAGCAAAATCCTCTGCATCCCCACAGGTAGGCAGAAGCTGTGATGGGAGCACAAACGAGCCCAAAAAGTAGCCGACAATCTTTAAATCACAGATTGTTGACGACAATTATGAGAAAATTAGATCACAATAATCCTTGGTACATGTTCCGCGATTGAAGGCAATGAGATACCATATAGGGGTTTCGAGGAGAGATGCATAAAAGGTCCAAGTAGAACGTGTGAAATGAGACGAGGAGTGAATAGACGTTATACATAGCATGGGAGTACGGATAAAAAGGAACGTTTAAACATCAGTTGAAGGTTCCTCTAACTTCTGTGGCGCCTCAACGTGCTCAAGAGCCGTTGTGGTAGTAGATTGAAGGATGCGCTCTTCCGATGAGGTGGTGGTCTGGACGTCACCAGTTGAGGCCGTGGTGAACACTTGTGCAGTGGTATAGGTCTCTCCGCCATCCACGGAGACCAAAGTGGTGGAGGGCTGTGCACTAGCAGCAGCAGTCTCGTCAGTCGGTCCGGCGGATGACGCAACAACCACTGCGCCCGACGGCTGAACCAGCAGGGTCTGCGTCTGTAAAATCACCAGATTAAAAGATGATGTGATTAATAGCCATAGGCATACACACATCGACCATCAAAAGAAACAGTAACAAACATGCGCACAGACGGACGGACAGGCGAGCAAAGAGGCAAGTCGTAAGACAACGCGGATGTGAGGATAGTCATGCGATGATTATAATAAGCGAAAGCGTTACAGTGATGACACAGTGGATTGTAGGTAGGAGAAGGGGGGTAAGGAAAGGGGAGGGACAATGGGATGAGTAGGTGAGGAAAGAGTTGTTCGATCATTTACTGTTCGATTGATCACTTACTCCCGAAGTAAGATCCGACAGCTGAATAGGAAATAAAAGAGGGGCATAAGAAACGCTTGTGCATCTTATGCATCAACCAACAAAACTACGTGACTACTTAGTTGACATCAATGGACAGAGTAGAAGCCAACCTGAACATGGACGGTTTGAAGTTTGTTAGCGGCATCAGTAGAGGCACCCGCGGGGGCACCAGCTGCGGTGGTAGTGGAGGGAGTGGAATGCTGCACAGAGGTCTGCGGATTCACCACGTGCACGAGTTGCAATCCACCCGTCGTCGCTGCCGTACCCGCCACGCCGCCGGTGGCAATCAGCGTTCCACCCACTTGTGCTGTCGCCACTGCATCCGTACTTGCTGTCTGAACACCCAAAATGGAACTATTCTCATTCCATCCAACTTAACAAAAATTTGAGACTATACTTCCCCTTCAAGAAATTGAAGATAGCGAAAATAGCCGATTTTTGAACTTGGAAGTTAAAGTGGAGCACGTCGTGTTTAAAAGTGCACGACAGAGTAATTGAGCAGCAAACGTAATGACTGTAGTTGTGATCAAGGCGAGTAAATACTACAACAAAAAGTAGTCGAATCGTACCTGAAATTGCTGAGGAAGCATCTGTATCTGGAAGGGCTGTCCGTTGGAGGCTGAGCTAGTGGCAGGTAATTGGATAACGTATTGGATCTGCTGGCCGGAAGTGGTCGCGGCAGCAGCAGGCACGGTAGCGAACTGCACGGTTGGTTGGCCGGCCGTAACCGTGGTCAATGTGCCGTCGGCGCCGGCCACCAGGGTCGCTGCTGCAGGTCCCGCGGTCTCCGTCTTTATAGAGACATCGTCGCCAGTGGCCTGCTGCTGCTGAACCACCTGTACCTGTGTCTGCTGCACCAGAGACGAACCTGCCATATGCTGCAATGCCGACTGAGTGTGCTGCTGCTGCGACTAAAACGATGTACTAAATGCCTCAGTTTAAGGCACAAAGTCACAATAGAAAATAAGTGAGATGAAGTATTTCTGATGGACAAACTAGATTTATCGAACAATGGGTAGTAAGGTCATGTCACAAGTCAATCTAAATTAGTCTAATCAAATAGATGGAGATGCTTCGCCTAAGTAGGCAGGCTAGTGCGTCTTGGCTTTCATTTGAAATCGTGTTCAGACCCATGGCCCACAATAGTGCGCCTCAGAGCGCAATGGTAACTAGCATGACTGGATACAAAATATTGTAAGTATAGTTAGGAATCTTAATGGTAACCATGACTGACAAAAATTTAGTCACAATAGTTAAGATGAGAAAGCCCTCAGTAATCCATTGGCAACCTATGAAAACCCTGAAGATATTCACTTTGTAACAAACCGTCTAATTACTATACCGAAATACATCACTTCCTCTGGGATGAAGCAGAACTAACAATGCTTTTCAAAACGGTAGAACTGCCTTTGCTGTTACCAATGCCTATGACTAAAACCATAACCATTTTGGGTGTAAGACGGCCTGAAACAGTAGATTGCGCATGAACCCAGTGGTGCATCAAGTTCAAAGCGTTTCCAATGGTACGAGGGCATCGAAGCGGACGCAAGCATGGGAAATGAGTCATCGACACAGAAGCACTTCGACGCAATAAGATGCATAAGGGATGCCGGTGATTACTAAGCCGTGTGAGGCGATGGGGCAAAATCGAGGAGCAAAGAGGCAAGACAAATTTACAAGCAACCCCAGGACCAACCATTATCCACCATGCACCATGTCACCCAGCGAAACGCAACTCTTCGGAATCGTTTAACTGTGTAGGAGCTGAAGTGTAAGGACACAAACACTTCGAAATCGATGTTCAGTAGAAAAATAACTCATTACGGATGGACGCATTTAGCCAAAAGGAAAACAAATTGATTTCCTTCATCTACTTCGAAAACAGTACGGCCAGCTAGCTCGTGAGTTGGTAACTTTAACACCTCAGGTTAAAAAAGCGTGACATAAAACTCATGACCAAAGCATCTCACTAAAGACGTCCCCGAAGGAAAAAAACCGCATAAGACTAAGATTGTGACAACGCCACTACTTGGAAAAGCTACCAGGATGTGTTGTGAATGGCGGATTCGACCTGGTGCAAGGACAGCACACGAGCCGACAAGAGCACAAGATTGCCGCTTCATTCGCGTGCCTCACACCCGCTGGCTCGTGCCCCCCACACATGTGTGGGCGTTCAGCGGCATCGACCTGTCGCAACACAGTGCGCACATAAACACGAAAGCCCCATAAAAAGGTCGCACTTCATCGCTGCCTAGCGATGACACGGTAAGCCAAACCTATGTATTATGCTAAAACTACCCACTTCCAATGTTTAACAATAAAATACCTAAACTGCATGGGCGGTATTCGTGGAAAGTATGTCCACCATCCCCCTTGTTAACGATCGTTTAGCTAGGGTAACATCTTAGACAACTGATCAGATGCCAAAGCTTTTGATGACCAAGCTAAGGCGTACTGTCACCGGAAATGGAATGCGTACCAAAATTAGAAAAGGAGTTTTGAGCTCCCGGTGGGAAATATTTCTATAAAAACACTCTCAAAAAGTAGCACGCGCATAACGTCAATGAAACTTAGTAGATGGGTAGGTAACCTTGTCGCCAACACCTCCCAACTGATAAAAAGGCTCTCAAACAAAAGCTGCACAAGAGACACTTTTCAAGCTGGAAATGATTCCATGCGAACCCACATCATAATAGACATTCTTCGTCGAAGAAGAAACACTTTTAAAGAAAGAACCTGACGCCACCTGAGCAAATACCTATTTCTAACAGCTTCCCAGCGTTTTAGAGATGCAACAAAGATGGTGACAATTTATTGAAAATCTCCGACCACAATGCGAATTTGATGTACATATTCACTAATTTTTCCGAAAACGAGAAATAACAAACGCAACATGGAAGTGAAATCGAGTCATACCAGGGTACAAGCAAATTCGGACGAGGCAAATGTAACGGACATAGGGTTGGATAACAACTACAAAAATATGCTCTTTCAAATGCACTTTCCTATCCGAAGCAAATTTCTGCCGAACAACTCGAACCAAACGAAGAGTTTAAGCATCCTACAATACAGAGGAAAATGTGACATCACTGCCTTCGCGTGCGACTATATCCAATTTGGAAAGTATAATCCCAAGTTTAAAGTATGAGTGACGAATATTGCAAAACCGCATCACGTTTAAGATAAGCTAAACTACAAGCGACAAGTCTCTGAAAGTTGGTGTACTGGAATTCTTACCCTTCGATGCCCACGCCCCTCGTCCCGTGGCACGATATCGATGAGAAAATCGAACTGATCTGTATCCCCATAGGAAACAGCCATAGATATATCGTTCCTTTGCAGAGTTCTTCGGCGGTTGCGATCAGTGTGCAGCCATGCTCTCAATGTTAATTCACGAATAAAAAGTTCTGCAGCCTTCGCGAATAGAATTGGAGCTTCAGCACTGATCATCTAAACGCATAATGCGTGGTAAAAATATACAAATACCATAGTTTTGACGTCATCATCAAGTTTCATAATTTTTTTTATGCGGGCTAGAGGAAGATCCTGTGTTTTAAAGGAATTCTGCTCCGGTTTTAGTCCTTCTGCTTCCTGCTTCGCCATTTCCCAGAAGTTAGCAATGTGTGTTTGCGAATCGCATGATATATCAGGGGTATAATCCATGTTAACTGTGACGAATACAAAGAACGTAGAACCTTGGAGAGTTAATCAGCAAAATAAATGGGATATCAGATAAGGATTCAAGCTACTGCCTGATCTTAAAGACTTGACCACTGCATAAATGGACAGACAAATTCATGCACACTGAAAACAGCCGTATCAAGTCAGCGCGATGTCGATTTGAGGCAAAAAGTGGTGACGTATGGTAACGAGCAACGAATCAGAGCCAGATGTAGGTAGGATACAGTAAGGGGAAGTGGCAAAACACCAAAGTTCGCCCAAAATACAACTGCACAAAAACGAACAGAACGCAACCTAACCGACGATAGAAAGAAAAGTTGCACCACTGACAAAGTAAAACAATTTTAATCCGAGAATTTGCAAAAAAATAAATTATTTTTTGGATGAAACAATTAAAAGCGGTCAAAAATATACATTAAAATCCGATTTGTTTTATTTTTGAATCGATGGCAATGAAATATGACGGAAGGGAAAAGCTAGAACCTTGATCCCCCCTGCTAACATAAAAATTTTCGGTAATCATAATTTTAATACTCTTGGCAAAATTCATCGAACACCGCTGTAAATGTGTAGTGTTATGTGGAGCGAGACTCCTCGGTCTCCGCTTCCCGATCCCTAGCGTTCCTAGACAAGCCCGGTTGGTTTACTTTGGACATCTTTATTAAAGACGACAAGATGTACAGGGAAAATACAATATTCAAGAAGGAGGGGAGCCGCAGTCGCTAGGTAAGGGAGAGGGCGATCCAGTTACCAGGTTCGAATTTTCTGCTTCCCTCCTCCCTGAAAGGCACATTAAAACAACATAAGTATTACAGTTAGCTCCTCTAATCAGCATTAATAGAGTTCAATACGGGATTGGAAGCTGGCATGTTCAAAACACATTAGTTGCCGAAAATACCAAATAAATAGCATGAGCATGCTCTATTTTTAAAGTTTTTACCTATTATGAGTTGCGCGCTAAAATACCAAGAAAGTGAAAATTTTGTGGCAAGAAATTATAGCCCGTATCACCATGATTAATTTACTCATGCTCATATGCGAAATATTAATGCTTGCAAAACAATTTTTTAAAGAAACAAAATATTGTTGATCTGTGAAAGTTGACTTTTTTCGCAAATTTGTGGCTATTTACGGAAATATTCATGGGTGTTTCCATGCTTGCCGTTCCAAGAATTTTTCGAAAACGTGATGAGTAATGCGCCAACGCTGCATAACAGAAGGCATAACACTAACACGCGAAAGGGTTGGAAACATTGTAGCGTCCCGAGACCCCTCGAAGACGAAATAAGACGCAATACTCAGGCAGAATATTTATTTAGCATAGAGAAGGTGTTCGGGGTACTGGCATGGCCCAAAGGCCAGCCCACCTAGCGAGAAGCAAGAAGGCAAATTTAGAAGTTCAAAACTGGCGCCGCACCAATATTGAACGATGAACCACCATCGTATTACAATATGGTCCGGTGAACATACTCTATAGCTGTCTAACGTACTTGCAGATTCCTACAAGTAGTTTAGCGTGTCACTTCTCAACTGATAATTTTCTAACTAGGTACCCGATTTGGTCAGCACTTTGTGCCTGAAATACAAAATATCAGGTTGCCACTGAAGCTCTAACTGGCCCATTGTTGACTAAGAAACTAATTCACATCCATTCCAGCTTAAGGCAGGGCTTTAACAAAGTGTAAACTTACAAGTTGCCAGCCAAAATTGACGTGCGTTAAAATTCTTTCAATGAGTGCAGGTTGTCATGTATTCTGATTTATATTTTACCATATCATTTTGTTTGTCTAGTTTGCAATTTTACCTGCATGCCTTGCCACCATTGCCCTCGCAACTTAAGGATGGGGAGTTCGGGTGTGTTGGTGCAGTCTACGATTATAAGTTTGTGCACAGCAAAAAGTGATGGCAGGTGCCAAGACTATGACGAAATAAAGAGGTTTAATATAGTCGACTTAAATTTGGAGCTTCAAGGTGCGATATTGTGTGATTTTCTCTAAAATCTGCTTAATTTAAAAGGAATTACGAAAATAAGAAGTCTTGACGCTTTTACGAATTTAACGCGTCTCCGACTAAACAATAATAACGTCGAAATAATTGAAGGTTTGGATAGACTTGGGAAGCTAGAGTCTATTGGTTTGTCTGCTTTGCTTAAAGGCAACAGTTTGCCAGACCTATCATTTAATAAAATAAAAAGGCTTGAAGGTTTAGGAAGTCTTCTAGCTTTAAAACTCCTCGTTATCAGTCACAACGAATTGAGTTCAATTGCAAACTCTTTTACACATTTACAGTATTTGGAAATGCTTGTTTTAAACTCAAACAAATTGAGGGATGTAAATGAGGTATTCAAATGCACTTCCACCAAAATCTAGTTTGATCACTTGCAAAAGTGTGCATCTTTGCGAAGTTTGAGTTTGAAATCAAATCCTTTGTGTGCGAATACCAACTACCAAGAACATATTCTTGCAGTCATTCCTAATCTCATATATCTTGATGGTATAAACCGTGCAAAAACAAGGGTAAGCAATGCGGCAATCTTAGTTTTAGCTTGAGGTTGAAAACACGCACAAAGGGAAGAATGAAACGGTCTCGAATGAAGACCAATGCATGGCAGCAGTGTGTGAAAACGGGGAGGAAAAAAGAGCGCGGGAAAGTCGATACAAAGCTGCGTTTGTCGACGAATGGAATCCCGAAAAATTTTTTGCAAACGGTTTCTTGAACAAATTTGATCATACAATATGTAATTTACCCGGGAACATAGAGAATTTCCAAGAATATCCTTTTCTACCCCTTCATACGTTTACGGATTGTCTAACTTTACTTACCTTTATCTTCCCTTAAAAATTCACATATCAGAAGCAAGTTCTTGAAGTTTGCAAACAGATCACTTTAACTGGAATGGACTCAAAGAGGATTCGTGACAGTGAAATAAGCCAGTTTGAACAATTTATTCGTGAATTGAATAAATACTTTAAAATGAAATCAATTGGCTCAATACAACAGTATTATAATGTCGAAAAGGTAGGGCACTGTAAAATCAATTCATTTATTTCAAAATCCTAAGTGGATCTTTTTCTGGTATTTTGATGTAGTTGGTAATGTTTGATATTGACTAGTTTTAGATTCATATGTATGATTAGTTGTTGACCCACTGTAGTGATAACTATAAGGAACTATATTCTTTAAATTTCTGATTATTAACTTGTTTCATTCAACACAGAAACTCAACTTTGACAACGAGCTTGATGATATAAAGAATGAGAAGGAACGATTTCAGATGAGCCGACAACCACTGGAGGATTTGCATGACGATTTGATGAAATTTGAAACAGAATTGGAAAACCAGTTGGAGGAAAATATGGACGATTTTGAGAGAATGTTATTAACTCTAACAGATGAATTCATACAAGCGATTGAGGTAAGTAATGTGCACATAATAATTTAATCTATTCTTGACAGACGAATGTTTCAACGACATTTAATAGATAGGTATGGCAGTATTATTCAGGGGATATTGGCATCTTAAAACAACAAAAACAAGCCTTTAGTTGGAGAACCGTTCTACAACTGAATTTATTAGCTAAGCCGATATAAATTACACATTTTAGGCGAAAGTTGCAATTTGTCGAAAGGCTGAAGACGAGTACTACGAAAAGGTCTCAAACCATTGTTTTCATCTGCTTGATAAAGTTCCCCTTGAAGAAATGGGAGTCGAGGTGACGCCACAACTTTGTGAGGTAAATAGTAAGATACGGCATGGCTCAAACAGCTACTAGCAGGGTTCATGCATGGAAAACTGAGCATGAATTGCGCTTCTTCAATTAAATAAATCCGTAACTTTGGACAAACGTACGTATTTACCGGCAAAATTGTTATAGTTTTCGAAATTCGCTCTGAAATTCACCTCAATGACCAATATTCTAATTATAATGCACAAAAATTCCACCAGAAACAAACAATATTGTAAAGATGGCTTTGCGTATTTTTGTTTCAAACCACCGAATGAATGGTACACTTGTCGAAGCCACTTAATCTACAGTTGATTGATTCATTAAATGCACTTGCAACATAATATCCCAATTAAATAGTGCGTTTGGCACAGATATCAGGAACTAATGTAGAGCTCATTCGTAATGCTTAGCCAAAATTGCTCTAAGTCATTTCTGAAGTAACCAAAGGAGGAAACCGGAAAGGACTTAAACTAATGTTAACATTACATATCTCATAGATGTTTGAAGACAAAGAAAGCCTTACTGAGGTTCTGGCCGACTGTCACGCAGGGCATACAAGTTCATTCTATTCAAAAGTTGACAATATCCGCGAACGATGCCAATCATGGCTTAAAGAAGTTCTTCTTGGATTTCGGAACACCTACATAGAAGGACGGAGAAGGGCAAGAGTTTTTGAAATTCATCATTTTATGGAAACTCAATGGGATAAACTAAACTCCACTAAATTATCCAGAAGCCCATCTGCAAAATAATATGCTAATTAATCATAGGAAGATAAAGATACTGTATTTCATTTGCATATACTTACTTACTGAATTACGAAACGGAAACCAAATAGATGAACTAACGTTTCCAAGCTTTGAACAGGTTGAAACAAACCCAAAATTCAATGCCATCGAAAAATTCGTGTGTGGGAAAAAAATTGAAATTGGAAGCGAACACAATTTTAGCGCATTTTAACCAGTGTTTTTAAGAATGCATAGAAAAATAGACATAAATAAGTGCAAAACAATCGCGTCTCTTGCCTAATATAAACACCACGCATGAAGAGCACGAATTTTGATTCAATTACTTATCCAATCATGCGGGCTCTATAGTCGCTCCGTTTTTGATCTCCCATTTGTTGGCATGACATTATCTGCAAACGAGCAGTTATTGCTTTACATGGACGATAAAGCCTTTCACACTTATATGACCTTTCGTGGCTCTAGAGATGGCTCAAAATGCTACAGCACAAACCCACTGAAGCCTCTGCATTTCACTATCTCGGCGAGTGATGCGCAGCTGTGCTGTCTGACAGCCCTCTGTGTGGCTCTAACAAGGCTGCTTTTCGACTCATAGGCATTCCACTGTCTTAAAGAGTAGTACAGAGGTTACAGCAAAAAAAATTAATTTACATGAAGAACATTGCTTCTCGATTAGCTCAGTTACTAATACGGACACCTCGTCTTCTTGCATTTAAACTGAATAAATGCATACATATACATATATATGCATATATACGATCTGTTATAAGTGAAAAGTATTGCCGCTGCCCTAATTCGTATCATATGTAATGAGTTCAGCATTTATCTTTCACCTTGACCTCCATTCTCTAAAGATAAAAGCATTTTATTGTGGTGAATAGTGATTGTTTAAGCACGGAGCTGTACAATACGGGCAAAGTGGTTTGTTGTTGAGATGACTTACATCGCTTGGAGTGCATTTTTGCTCCGCGGATGACAAGACAGGCTTGTATGGTTGTACTGGATCTGATTGTGTTTATCGGAATATTTCTGCTCCCTAATATGACAGTCGTAGGTGTTCAAATGCGGTGTTAAAAGCTTGTCTTATCCCTTCTTTTGGTCATAATATGTACCCTCGGACGTTGTGGGTTGCTACTTCCGTGTTTGGCAAGAATACATCGGTAGGCACGCCCAATCCGCCACCTACATACACCTTGATCGGTGAAATGCCTGTCGATACATGGACTATAGGCCTGTACGCGAAAAGGACCCGTGGCAGGCTTAAATCCCAGTGCTCCGGTTGTGCATCCCTAATGAAGGTGCAATTTTAACTTTTCACTTGTCTTCTGTCTCGTGGATGTCCAGGTGTCGTGCTTGTCATAGAAATCTCGAAAGCCTTACACAGTTCAGTAAAGGGTCGGCTTTTGAAATTAGCACCTTGGTTGCTATTCTGCATCTTAGGCACACCGTGTTGCCAATTCTAGAGGCTAAAGTTAACCAAAGTGGCTGCTTCAGCGTCCTGTATCGTCATGGTTTCTGCCTCAACTACTTTCGTAAAGTAGCCTACCACAACAAGGATATATGAGTTCTCCTTCCTACTGGGCGGTAGAGGACCCACGATGTCAACACCTTCTTTTTCCCCTGGGAACCCTGCGGGCATAGATTGCAGTGGTGCGATCTCTGTGAGGTGAGACCTTTTGAATCTGTTGCAAGTAACGCAGGTGCGACAAAAATCAAGTACGTCTGGGGTGATGGTAGGCCACTAGTATCTTTTGCACATGCAACTCTTAAAGATCTATTTGTGTTTTTAATTTATTGCAGATGTGTTAAGATCCAGCGTTTTTGTAAAGCGTGGGTAAGTTTGGTATCTAGGTCAAATAGTGAAAGCAACGGAGGAATGTCAAGATAAAATTTCACATGAGAGTCATATGATCGACGCGCAGGCATAGACTTCCGCCCTTCTTTACTAGAGCATCCGGAAAGACCAATGGTGACTTTGATGGCCTCATGACCTCGTCTCTGATCATCATTTCGACCAGGCAGCTTACCTCTTCTAGCAGAGGAGGTGGTATGCGCCTGGTTTGTTTGCCAGATGGAATTGGATTCGCCAACATCTATTATACGATTCAAGATGCTTGTTCTTCCCGACTTAATGCCTAATCATGAGAACATAATCGCGTACTTAACCGGTAGCTTATGAAGTTCTTTCCTCTCGTTGTTGGTGATTTGGGTGAGCTGGGAGCAGAGGTCAGAGCAGCCTCGAAAAGGACATTGGAAGTATTCTCGGCGTCTTTCTTCGGTAGCAGAAGGAATCTAAGGACTGCAGGACCTTGTTAAGAAGAGTAGATGCCTTCTGCAAAATTCAGGGCGCATTTAATAATTCGTAAAATATTGGCGCCCATAATGACATCCCAAGTGGATTCTGGACATATGATAAATTTCACTACCCAAATTTCCTTGCCTTTTACGACATTTACCCTTTAATTACCATTTTCCTTTCTCCCGCTGGAAGCAGTCAGCTAAATGGTGAAGGGTATCTAATCTGGTGGCGAAGGGTCGGGAAAGGATTAGGAGTGGCTAGAGATCTAGCCGCGCTAGTGTCAAAAAAGAAGCAGAATAAACACCTTTCAAATTCGTCTGGAGCTTGCAAAAATAAATGGAGGCCATTTGGTAGAGCGAAGGACGGAAAAGGGGGTTCGCATAATTCTGGGACATAACACAAAGGACCCTGATACAAGGCGCAGAACTTTAATCAATTTCTGGCACTGCTTTTTTGGGAATTTTATTAGCTCGACGATGGCGTTGATAGCCCTGCCGCGAAGTTTATCAACCATAATAATTAGGCAACTCCGTGTTTAAAAACTGGACAGCTTTCCATACCCCTACTCTGGTTGGAGATGAGCTTTGGAATGCTTTCTCTGCTAAGAGTTAAAGTTTCATTCTGTACTCCTCATTGTTATTGTCCACTTTTTGGTAATGATAGGAGAATCCTCTAGCGAATGCCTGTTTTTCCTAATAAAACCAGTGTTAAGATTTATTAGCTCATCATTTTTCCAACTGGGTGTCTGAGTTCTGTGGGAGGGCTCCCAGGCACTGGTGTAAAATGGCAGAACCAGTTGTTAAACCTATCGGTTTCAAGACACACTTCAAAATTTGTAACGCTTCCTAAAGGAGGGAGATCGTCTGGCCCTGCCGTTAGTGTAATAGATTTGGTGTTTATCCACTTCACCTTGGCCCTCATTCTCATGACACGAGTAGACCGAATAGTTAAGGGCATTCCTCATTAGTAATATTATGGACGGAGCACACTGACGAGGGTTGTCCTTGCTTATAATGCACTCCTTAATTGGAATGGACGACTTTACCTCTGTAACTCAATTGCGCTCGTTGAACCCCTTTTGCCTAATACGTATGTCAAAACACATGAATTATGCATAAAATTAATAAGCTCGAGTACAATGTCAATGACATTTATTACTACATTCAAAGCAAAGAAAACCCAAGACTATGCAAATTTGTTATAATGTACTACTACAGTTATTGAAAACCTGATTATAACATTTCAAGTACACCTATTTTATTTCCCATGGCGCTCTGAATGCTCAAATAAGTCAATAACATTTTTCTTGCCATTAGCGACTTTACTGGCCGGGACTGTAGGTTTACGGAGTCTGGGCCGCTCGTTGTGTTTCTATCCTTCTGAGCACTTTTCATTGTTGTTTTTGAATATCATTCCTGCATCTTCCTTGGAATGATTTACTAATAGGAATTACTTGAATGCCTAATTTTGCCGATTGAGGAGGTAATAAAATTTGTACACTGATTTGATCTTTGGTTAGTTACGCGGTTGCCAGTTAAAACTAATTTTCATTGCTGTTTTTTTAACTATATTGGATGTTTTGCGAATAATCTTCTTTCACCAGAATGTCAATTTCTGTGCAGAAATTGCTGACACTTGTGCTGGGTCTTTTGTTTATTTTTATTCGTGAAGTTAATGTCGATGTGGATTTTTTATGATTCACCACTGATTTCAGGTACTTTATTTGAATACGAGTAGATTTTGTTACCGCTCCACAAACATACCTCTTTTTTTATAGGCAACCGATTTTGCTCAACCAAATAAATGCTCCGCCTAAGCGATTTGAGATATCGAGGAGAAGGAAACAAGAACATAGTTTTGGCAGATAGTAACGTATGCATTTCAATAATTTCTCCCTTACTTTTTAGGGAATGATCTATCGGATCCGAAAGAGCTCCCTGCCAGCTCTGGTAGGGCGTGTTTTGTTGTGATTTCATGAAACTGTCATTTCTAGCCTCCTACAAAAGGAACTCAATCTTTTAAGAAGAGCCGAGAGTTAACGGTTCTCTTTGGCCAGCATCGAATGACTCAGTACTTCGGATCAGATTTTATTCATCCCTTTGTGTGTTTTTTTGTTTTACTTGATCGTACGCACAATTTTTGTTATTGCTGGTGTTTTACCAATATATTCAATGCGCTTTAGAAGCTAATTGACGTGGATCCTTCTATTTTGCAAGCAATCAATGATCGATTTCAATCCTGCCGACCGGGTAATTATGCGTGATATGTGTGGGTCTTTAAGATGATGCGGAATATTAATTGACACCAAATATGAGGTCAAACTTAGTTCTGTCACAAGACCCTTTTTATGTAATGGCCTTGTATTTTTGTCATAATTGTAGAATAATGGCATAGTTGTTTGTATTGTGTTGTACACTTTTGCCTCACACTTATTTCCCACTTTAAATTTCTGAAGAAATGGTACAGATCGTCTTTTTTTACTGCGACATCTTCTGTAAAACACTTTAATTTCGCTCAGGTTCGGTGCACTTCCTTTTGAATGCATGCGTTTTTTTCTCAATTCTGGTAATGGTCACCATTGCAAACGATAATTGAACCAATGGAAACATTCTCCATCTTAGGTAGCAATACTTCAAATTAACATTATTAAAGTGTGCGCAGTCTGTCACATTGTCCATGTAGTTCTCCTTTTTGGAATCGAAATTTTCAGCATAATTCTAACTCTGATTTGTTAACCTACATTTTTGTGAATCTTTTGTAACCGAGTAAATGCACGAAACGCCTCTCCGTCGACAAAGTTAGTAGGCTTTGACGAATGATTGTATGGTAGCCCTTCTGATAATACGGTTAGCCTCGTCTTATGGTCTAGAGCTAGTTTGATCGTTTTACCTCAGGACTTCTGACAACCCATTGAATTGCCCCATTTCTATGCGCGTCTACGTGCCGCATTATGAATATATTTTGGCATCTTTTTGCACCGTAGTCTTTCGTTTGGATCGAGGTGTTGACCTACAAACTACCCGGGTCCTCGCCGCTCCAGACGCCACGTGCATTCCTGCAAACCTCACTCCCTATGGAGAGGGATCGGTACTTTGTGTCGAAATTAAGGTGGGTTAGCATAGTGCTATCACTCACACGTTTTTGGTTCCCTATCTTTTTTTGCCATTGTTGATCATACGTTCGAATACGCCGCCCGTACTATGACTACTCGAGATCTTTTCTTTCAAACTTTTCCATTGGGATGTTTTCGTTTATGCTCGCAGAGAGTGCGTTTTAGTTCCTTTATCGGGTCCTATGCCGAAAATTGGAGCCTGTTTTATCATAGGAATTTTGGCCGTGGCTATTTTACCGTGTAGTCCATTGAAGTTGAACTGATCACATGAGAGTAGATCATTTCTCGCACGCTGAATTTTATTCTACTCTGGAAAAAATATCTTTTCAGCTAAATGTCAACCTTCTGCTACTGTGAATAGGAATCATGCCGACAAATTGGGCAACTGCTGTAGTTTAACTTGTCACATGTCTCTCTCCCATTCACATACCCTCGAATGACTTCTTTTATCTCTTAAAATCACCAAGTCATATGAACCCTGTAGCAAGGCAGACACAGGGTTTTACTTGACAAAACATAACTATGTTTTTCCATGCTATCAGTTAGTAGGGATCTTCGCTGCTTCACGATTGTGTGACAAATCACGTTCTCTTCAAGCTGCTGGTGGCTGTTACCTTACCTGAGTAACAATAGATGCCATTCGGCTTCACCTATTGAAGAATGTGTAGAAATTATCCTCGCGCCTCCCCTTTTTTGACTTGATGATGCTACGTCAGATTTTGTGAACAAAGAGTGCTAAAAGTGCTAATAGTCCTAGATAAACCACTGTGAATCAATCTTTTGGAACCGCAGTTCTCGAAATTTCTACTAGAAAGATGACTTAATTGAGAGGGTACCTTGATTGTCTTAACAGTGAAGCAAACATACCAAGGCTTTTGCTCCCCATCGTCGAATTGTCTTACAATGAATTTTGGAAATTTTACCAGAAATAGCTCTATAGTTTTCCTTATCATACGGTGGAGGTTGTTGAAAAGTGCCCACTTCTAGAGGTAGACTAGTTTCAACCCTGTGCATTTTATGTAAAACAACTGTATGCTTCAACTTCAGCCTAAATTTGGGGCAATACCTCGTGGACCTGAACGTGATCCCATTGAGACGACAATTAGAAGGAACGCAATGTTCTGCATCATGCAATATCACGAGGTAGGGTATTTTAATCACCTCCAACAGCACTTTTTTGGAAAAAAATTGTATTGACGTGTGAATAAGTTAAATCTATATTTTGTCTGCATGACGCTGCTGGTTATAAGTAACTAGCTTAAGCAACCGCAATAACCAAAGAAAAAGTATGGAGTGTTTGAGGTATTTAAAATCATTTTTTCAAATATCGGGATGTACTTTTTTAATGCAATCAATTGGTAAGGTTTATATTTCCGGCCTGTCAAAAACTGCATTGATCGAGACCTTGGTAGGGTGACCCAAGCTACATATGTCGATGTAATAATTCTCAGCCCCGATTATTCTATCGCTGAATGTTACGAGAACTTATCACTCCGTATTCCAATATGGATATTTCATATATGGGTACCGGAGTGACGAAGTGATTAACTCGAGCATACTGATGCAGAAGTTTTATTGAAGGAGAAGTTACCGTCGGTTCTTTGCAAGAATGAGTCGATATTTGTTGACATTATACCATCCATTAATTTTCCCGCTTTGCTCTTTTTGTTTAATTTTAGACGAAAAGACGTATATGGGGTCGACCATCGTCCTACTGTCCCTGTGACCTGTTTTCCGGGTACCATCATATTTATATTTTTTCTCGAAATATTTCGTAGTACTTACAATCTATAAATAGGTAAACTTCCCTTGAGATTTTGAATAGAGACCGGGCACTATCACTTGGGGGTTCGGTGGCTTAACACATAGAGTTATCAACAGTGCTATTATAATGAAGTCATCTTTAGTGTTTCAGTCGCCGAGAAAAGTGGCAGTTTCGGAGTGTTTTTATTATTGAAGTAATTACCACTTGATCTGCTTTTCCGCGTGTCCAAAACCGACGAAGCTTAAATAGTCCAAAAAACAATGGTCAATCGCGAAAGTAAAGCATCACTTTTGCTCTGGTTTGGTGATCTTGGTGTAAAATGCAGAGCTATTGCCGATCATCAATACTTAAACTCATTTGAGGTGCTGATTAACTCGCTCAAAATTATATGCTTGATTAATTTTACTACCCACTCAAGGTATTTTCAGCCCTAAAATTTTATTCACGCACATATATGCATGTTACTTGTTTAGGAACCAAGAAAGGATGCTACGAGCTCTCTTTGCAATGCTTGAAGTCCGTCAAAACAATCTGCGAGTATTTTGCGTAAGCAAGTGTGTAGTTTTGCCTTTTATTTACTTGCTCTTTTTTAATACTGAGTTCGTTGGGTCGATTGTACAGTTAGAGATTTAAGAGAACATTTTAAACTGATTTTTAAATTGCTTATATAAATGTGAGGATTTTCTAACTTGTTCCTTTGCTGCGACATTTATAGGGTGGGTGGTGGGTGAACCTTTTGGGTATATACTCGTTCGCCCAACAAGTATTGGACTGAAATAAAATTCCCTATCACAAGTCAGTTGGAAAACAACTTAAATTGGCACGTTTTTACAAACTGAAAGGTGTGAAGAAAGTGATAGCCTGCAAGGCTCATTTTTCTTCATTGATGCACGACATGCCGGATCTGCTGACTTTGTAGTTCTCATGACCTTCCCACTGCGTTTGTATGTTAACGAACTGTTTCATCACTCACATAGAGTGATTTTGAGAATTATTTTCCACGTTTATCTTAAACTAAGGTGTCTATCTGTTTCTGGGCCGTCGGTTTTACCATCACCTCCAAATGCTGTGCATAAGATTTTAAGAGAAGTCTTTGCGGTTTTTCGACCAAGTTAGACCTGGTTCATAGTGAAGACAAGCTTAAATCACTTCCATTAAGTTCATTCAACAGTTACTGATGTAAAATAGTAGGAAAATAGTGAACAGCACAAAAGGGGTACTATACCGACAGACTATTGTATGTCTATACTTTCCTGTGCGTCCAAACAACTGCCCGCATTTTGACAGGTTGCAGTAAGTCTTTTCAGCGATCTGTACCCCAAGAGCATCAACTTTTTGTGTTTGTGCAGCTTGAAGTTTACCAGTGGAATTATACTTTTGCCCGTTCAATGCTTATTTGTCTGTCCTTTCACTGTTTATCCTTCTTCTTGCAGAACAGTTGCTGCGTGTTGAGTAACAGTGTTGATTTACTAGATAGTGCTCTGATGGATTTCTTCCACCCTCCTCTGGAGGAATGTAAAAGTGGGGGAATGAATCACAGCAACTTTGGCGACTCCCCTGAATTCGCTCCTTCGCATGCCCCGTGAGTATCCCCCTTGGAAATTCGGTTGAATTTATGGGTTTTACTCATATTTCTATCAATAGAAGGTAATTATTTACAAACTTAAATATGTGGTCCACATTGCGATGCGGAGTTACTTTCTTAAGCATTTATAAAAATACGGCTGAAAACCTTTGGGATGAAATGGAAATAATTAATATACTAATTTCGTGTCACAGGGATAAATCCTCGAGTGATAGCGAATGTGACGGTGGGACCGCCTGCCATTCACGTGCATGTCAACTCCACGCTGCAGACGAAGGCTCACTGCGCCATCGTTTCCTGGAGGGTCTGCTCCTTCCTGCCCTCCTCACTGCAATCCCCTCTCCCTCTACCTCTGGCAGCATCAGCAGATCACCAGAGTTCCGCTACGAGTGTGACCTCCATCCCTACACTCCTTCAAAGGCGTCAAATGGTGCGGTCGCTTTGACTACAACGCTCATCGCTTGTATTGGTAGGTATTAGTGGGCCATCGAAGTGCGTGCTGCTTCGTTGTAGAAAAGAACACATCTTCCTCCGTTACCTCAACTCCAACGCTGAGTTTTCGTGATCTTCCGCAAAACTCGCCTCTTGGTCGAATATTGCAAGCGCAGTTGGAGAGCTCTCTCAGTCACCAAGACCTCATCGGGCACTACGAATCCGTAGCAGCGTACTTTGAAGAACACGGTATTCCTTGGTAAGTGTATCCATAAGTTCATGTTTATAGGATTGTTAATATCATGCATTTAAATAAACTGCTGGTTCAGTCAAACAAACTGAATGTTTCAGAATCCACTTGGGAGGATGCGCTATAGATTATTATTTCTGCTGGTGAATTGTATCATTTTGCGAAAGTTGCTCCATGCATACCTTTGGTGGTTTTTATGACTTTCAAAGATTCAGTTTCTCGTTTTATGAATATACCAATTCCTTTTTACCCAATGTTCTAAATTTTTCGTCTTGGTACACAGATGAACAACTAATAGGCGCTTTTGTGTGTATTCCTCTGTGCAGAAATAAATGGTCTCATTGTTTTATTTGCTTTAGCTACTGAACTTTCCTGGTACCATTATAATGCTCCAAAAGAATCACACCAAAGTGCGTTACTGATGATTGCACTTTGTACACATTTTGCAGTAAGGGCTCACTTTGAGTGATTATATTTCCGTCATCAAAAAACAACTTGATTTGACTGGGCCTTTTGTACCATATTTAGCATCTGGAATAACACATCCGGTCTAATTTGTGTAGCTTCGTTGTGTACGCCTCAGTTGTTGTCCTTTTCCATTGTAGGGATTCCTACATTAGTGGCAAGATTTTCGTTAATACTGCCGAGGCACCGCCCTGCCTCATTGAAAGTCTGAACCTCGTAAGTCACCGCTTTCCACTTCCCTGCAGAGGTCGGCCATTATTTTTGGTTCATTTTATTGGGACTGCCTGTAGTGACGCCTCAACTTCCTTAAAGTGGCCACTTGTCATACCCACTATCCACGAAGTATTTAAACCAATAAAAATGTCTTTATTCGTATCTCTTCCAAAATGAATACCCATTAGCGGAAATGGATGTTAGCTGCACAAACGTAAGTGCTTGCACATTTTCTAACCGCCGGAGTTTTGTGTTTTCTTTTTAGGTTGAGAAGCACCTGGTGGCTATGGTCGCAAGAGACTGTTCCATTATGCTCACCTTTCAACGTGCGAAAAACAAGTAAGCTTATACCAAAAATCAACATTTAGAACAGAATTGTCCTCTTTTCACATTACCTCTTTAAACATGTGTGATTAGGCTCTGCATGTCTATTAAGCTTTCTTATTTTAAAAAATTTAGCTGCCCGGCGAGCGTCTTAACGGTCGGTGGCGAGTGTCCATGCATTCCGAAAACTATTATCAACATCAGTATCGTGGATTTGGACCCAAAGGAGTTGAAAAACCTTCAAGAGCGTGTAAAATCCGAACGTCGTGTGGCCGAGCAATTCTTGCTTCAACGCGAGGGTTAACGTAACGCTTCCATGAGAAATTACGGTTTTGGGACTCCTTTCTCCGCTCAAATACTTCTTTCTTATTATGTTCTTATTTGGAATCAACACATGGTTGGCATACTTGTGTTTTGTGCAGGAATAGTGCCGTCTGAGCCTATGGTACTATTCTGGGGCTCAGTTTCCTGTTCCGACTAGGTGGCGGGGAGTTTCAGCTCTGTTTAAAGTTGATCACTTGCACCGCTGCACATGCAATGCAAAGGCATTGATATTATTCTAGTGCAGCGTTTGATGTACTATAATGAATTAGGCTTAACGTGTAGGAATAATAACGCAACTCCAGAATTTGTCCCTCTATGGCAAAGATGTGTTTGATGTTTTGAACGTATACCATAGATGGCGAAGCCGCTAATACCTTAAGATTTTAGCTACAGACGTTTGAAAACATATGTACCTGTATTGTTTATATTAATGTTTGACCTAGAAATGTAAACCACCAATGAGAAAACCAAAATGTCATTGGAGTGTGCAGTGCAATGGATGGGCCAAGGCGTCAGTTGACACTGTCCGAGTCGTTTAGTAGAGCAGCAAAGGAACCCCGCCTAGATCCCACGTAGGTTTGCGATGAAGGGCAGCTTGATTATCTTCTGCCCCACGTCCATTTCGTAATGGAAGAGGTTCAAATTAAGGAATATTTCATGGGCTACATTTTATTGAAGGTTTGGTAATATTTTAGCAAAGTTCTGCATCACCGCAACTATTTTGGTTACAATTTGGTTACTAACTATTTTTGTGCTCAGCTTGTGCCTCATCTGTATTCCTATAATCTTCGTTTCCCTTCTATGGCTAAAGCCATGCCTTGGGTGCCGAATAATAATCCAGTGGTATTCTTTTTGCATTATAGATAACAAATAACGTTTGCAATTGTTTCTTTAGAAATTCGGTAAGACGTAGCTGGGACGTTGTATGTTGGGCAGTTGGTACGACTATTCTAATCAACAAGTAGATTTGACGCGTTTTTGAAGTGAATTTGAGACTTAAATATTGGTAGTCGTATTTGTTTCAAACAAGATTGAATCTTTTCTGGTGCAGAAACTCCGGATCTTCCGCGAACATGGTTGCTAATGCGCCTAACATTTTCCTGAATTCTCAGTTTTTTTGGCAGGTTAGTGTTTTACTAGATATTTTCACCTCTAGAATTTGGATGCAAATTCAGTCTCGTCTGCTTCAAAGCCCATTGCAAGCGCTGGGTTTAATGTAACAAATCTATACGAGGTTGGTTTTTATGCTTTCAAGCCATGCGCTTCTAAAAATAGGCAGAGAGAAATGCAGAATTGTATCCAGCGTCATCTGTGCACGCAGATGCATGGAATGCCTCCTATGTAAAATTGCCTTGCGCGCCTCAGAATCTCTACTACGAAAATGTATGTTTCACCTGCCTTCATTAATATTTTTTTTCTCATCTGGTGTACGTTAACCGCCCTGTTTTCATGTTATTTATTTTCGAAATGCATTTACTTCAAATGCCGTTTTTGTTTTTTGAGGGGAAGTCAGTTTGTCGATGGAGTCTCATAGAAAAGGCTCTATCAAGCCCTATAAACTCTGTCAAAGAATTTGCTGTAAGTACGAACTAAGCAAAAACTTTGTGCTGCGATTACTGGAAAATTTCATGTTAATTTTTACTCTAGGATGCCGTCCTTTCCTACAATGCCCGTTTTGCTGGCTCTTGGAATTTTGACCATTTATCAGCAGCCTTGCAGATTGAGCCCTGCTATGTGCAGTTGTTGCCAAAAATAGCAGGTCTTGCCCTGAAGCTACCATATCTGATTACTCGGGTAACAGAAAGTACTTAAATTGACATTGATCTAACAATATAATGTTTAATAACGTTATCTTTAACCACCTCATTCTAAATCCCATAGAAAGGACCATTAATCACAAATACTATGACTAATCGCAGTATTGACACACTGATTCATTCTCTTTAATTCAGCCGATCCCATTGCTTTTACGTAATCAAGAAGCTAGTGTGTCTTTGAGCCAATTTCAAATTGCGTGTCTGCTGGCTAATGCCTTTTACTGCACTTTCCCTTGCCGAAGTACAAGGTCAAAACGATCAGAATATTCGAACTTTCCATTTATCAATTTCGGAATTTTGATGTCTAGAGGGTGAGTGATATTTTGATCTATCTACAGTTAGCATCTCTTATCGTATGCCATATTTGTACTCCTGCTGTGTATCCTGTCAAAATGAGTGCTTTGGTGTTCACTGTTTAGTTTCGCTAGTTCATAATGGAATGCTTTTTTTGCCAAGCTTTCTTAGGCTTTTAATCACTTTCATATGTATCGAAATAATTCGTAGTGTGGCATATTGTGTTTGCATGATTTCCCCAGGTCAAACTTGGCTTCTCCGGTGGTATGATCTACATTCACTTGTGTTTCATTCATTGCTGTAATGTAGCATTGAAAGTACCACTTAACGTGGCCGCAGCTGCAGGCATGCTGTTGTCTAATACCTTAAGTATTGTTTCTACTTTAATGCCTATTAATAGGGTCACTTCTTCCTTTTTAATCAGTTTATGTGGTGAGAAACACTATCTGATGTTAACATCCAGCCTGGACTAAACGATTTTCTTAGCTGATTGAGGAATTTTTTTCATTATTTGTATCAAGCGTGACGTACTTCTTCGTTGCAACTGCGTCACTAATTAAATCGCATGGGAAGCATGGATTCGTTCCGCACAGCCATTGTTGTTTTTTTTTTTAAAATTCACCTTTTGAAATGGAGCTGATTTAATAAAAATACCACATCTTTAAATTTATTTGTGTGACCTCAGTGAACCCTGTAAACATCCTAACAATGCATCTTCGCTCGGCTGCTGCTTCGTCTAGTCCATTCTCGTCGCGATTTTAGGTACAGAAATCAAACTAAATCAACCGACCACAAGGTGCTGTGCATTCTGCACTATTTTAATCGCGTTTTATCCAGCGATCCTTCTGGTCGTATAGTGACGTATACTCGTCGTTGCCTTGATCAGCCGCCCGATTTCGTGTCAAGTGACGCTAAGTTCAAGTCAATTGCTTTCGGAGTGAGCTCCACCTGTCTCATTGAGGACGCGGACCCCGGGACAATTCAGGTATTCAGTCATTGTGACTGCTATAACTCTGCCCATTCCAATTGGTTTGTTATCACAGTTGTTTTATGCTCAGGTCAATTTTGCGGATCGTTTTCTTGGTGGTGGAGTGCTCCGTGGTGGCTGCGTTCAGGAAGAGATCCTTTGCTGCATTCGTCCTGAGATCCTCGCGGGGCTACTTTTTATCGAAGCCATGGATAACCACGAGGCCCTTATCATTGAAGGAGCGGAACGATTTTCGCGTTACACAGGTTACGGCAGAACGTTCGAATGGGCTGGCGACTTCAATGAGGCCGTTGATGCAAAAAACACACTGTAATTTCTGTTAAATTCGGTCCATATTTTCCCTGACTGTTCAAATACTAATTTTAAATGTTTACCATCTGTTATAGGAGTGAAGACGGCCGATGGATGGGAGCCATAACCGCGATTGATGCACTTCATTTCTCCAGAGGTACCTCACAATTCGATGGTAAATCCATTCGGCGCGAATTAGATAAGGTAAATGGCGCCTTAACGCTAACATGATTTTAAGCCAGCTCCTTCTTCTGGGGGTTTTAGATATGGTTTAGAATCGAGGTTCCTTTGGTTTTTTCTCCTAAAATTGAATAATCTTTTGTTGATGTCCAAGAACTATCACATTAAAGGGTGGAAATAAAGTTTAAGTCAGGTTCTACAACACATCTCCTTCAGTCTACTAAAGCAGTTGCAAATTCACTTACCGTTAATTGAGCAAAGTATTTGTGAGTACTTTTCCCACTCACTCTTTTTTATTATTTTTGTATTTCATTTGATAGTTTTTGATGTAACGGAAATAATTAAGCACCATTCTTCGTAAATGTCTAGTGCTCCAGTTTCCTCTTTTTGCTGAAAGTACCTAGTTTAATTCACATTCGTCTTTTTTCTTACCCCATCAGGCCTACTGTGGTTTCACCGACCTTCTCGCTCCCCACCGAGCTCTTCCTAATGTTGTCGTAAGCGGCCACTGGGGATGCGGTGTTTTTAAAGGAGATAAGGAACTCAAATGTAACTTTTCGGTAGAATTTAAACCTTTTTGTTGAATCGACATCCTCCTGCTATAGATATTTGTTATGCTTGGTTGAAAAATGGCATTGATGAAGTGCTCTATGTTTTATACTGGTCCAATGAATGGTGCACTTTTTAGAAAATTAAACTTGCGTTCGGAAAAATTGCAAGTTTTTGTTGTTTCTGTTATATTGAACTCTTCAATTCGGTTGCTTTCTAAAGTGGAACTTCCAGTTCCTCATTCTAAAGAATCAATAAGTCTTCAGTAGCGTGCGTTTTCATTAGAAAATAGGTGATGCCAATAGTCGATAGCCCTCGTGTCAGCCGTAACTATTTCAGATAGGTTTTTTTTACCGTTACGTAAAAATGGTTTTGTTCTGATCGTTTTTTGATTTATAGAATGACAAGCACTTAATTCTGTGTTTTTAATATTTGAAAGCTACTTATTTGTTTAGGTTTGATTCAAATGATGGCTTGTGCGCAGGCCGGAAAATCGCTTGCGTATTGCACATTTTCCGATGATGACTTTGCTAAGAAGGCTCTTCAAGTCTTTCAAGTTCTTTGCTCCAGCTCATGTACAGTTGGTAAGTCTGACCTTTATGCCCTTAGGTTGTATTTTATATTTTCAACAATGAGTAATCTATGATATTATTTACCGGACCATAGTAGAATAGTGGTTTAAAATATAGCGGGACTTGAATTCCTCAAATGTTTTTCATTTAGTTTGAATACTTTTTTTCTTGATATCGCATTGGCGGTCCAATGGAGATTGTTGTTTAAGTCTTCTTTACGTGCACAATAGACGAAATGAGTTGTGGGAAATGTTAACGGTTGACATTTGAATGTCTATTCTAGGGCAATTGTGGAGAATATTGTCTACCCTTGATCAGTCAAAATGTACAACTCGAAGACCAAGTGCCTTTGGATTCGTGACCGAAGTATTGTCAAAGATGTCTTCATTGTCTTAATCGTTTTAAAAGTCGGTTTTTTGGCTTCTAACTTTATGGGTTTTCACATTGCCAAGTTGCTACAGGTTGCGAATCAAGATATCGGGAAAGAATTTTAGAAGGCTTTGTAGGCTTACAACCTTCACCAATCAGCGAAAGAAATATTCTACGGTGTGTGGTGAGCGTAACGACAAAATAGATATGAATTTCGGGGATAGGTCGTTCGAGGTTTGCGCGTGCAGGTACTACCTCTTAGATTCAATCAGATTTTAGTAGGCCTTCATTTAGTCTAGTGGGTGGGAGGCATCGTAGTGGTTAAACATGGCGGATTTGGTTGCGAGTACTTATTTTGCAAACTAGGTGCTGGGGGTCTGTGCGATTATTACCCGGGTGGCGGTCAAGCTACCCTTTGGGAGTCAGGCGGACAATGTACACTTATCTTACTGAGTCAACAAGTTCGCCTCAATGTTGCGCTTGTTAAATTCAGGAGAGACCGTCTTTCGCGATGTGCGGTATTCTGCGCTTGTACCTTTCTAGTTTATTGTTGAAAACGTCTTCGTTGGTTGAATTGTTGTTTATCTGCATCTTGTATCTGTATTGTGAGAAACGAAAAATGGTTTATCTATATTGTAACTCATCGAATTTCTGCAGAATTGTGCAAGACTTCATGTATTTTGATGGGTCGTTCTATATTGCTAGAGTCAAGCATTGAATGCAATTTATTCCTATATCCTCCCGTAGATTGACAGCAATTTCGGTGAGCGTCTAATGTTGCATTTTCTACCTTTTTTTCTGTCTTGCTAAATACGTTTGGTGCAAAATTGGTCGAAAATGGTGCAAAGATTGTCCATTTCGTTTCACCCGATTAGTGTTCTCAATTTCCTGAAGTCCTTTTGCTTCGTTTGGCAGCCCCACCTCTGGGCCGCCTGTTCTCCACCGGGATCTACCCAACCTCGTTGTTAGTGGCCATTGAGGATGCGGCGCTTTCGAAGGCGATAAGTAACCCAAATATTGGTTCTTAGCCTTAGCTCCTACCACTTCTCAATCTCGTACAATGCTCTACTTCCCAATGTATTGTTAAAATTAGGATGTTGACCACGTTAAGGTACCGCATATTCAAGCCTGATAGGAAAGGCTGATATATTCCTTAATTGGAAAATCGGTAAACAGGCCGCATTTGTAGGTGTTCTTGTTTGCATTTACTGTGTTGGCCTTTTTAAGTGATTGAGTAATTTACAACACGCGTATGCTCTTTTTGGTTTTTGATGTATTTCCTTGGTTCAGAAAAAGAAGTTAATCTTATCAAGTTCAGATTTGCTCTTGGTTGCAGTGTGCCTAGCTTTAGTAAAAAAGCAGATAGAAATGGTAATATGAAACAAGATTTTTGAGGGTGCTAGAACTGAAAAAGCTATCCATCACCGATTCTTCTATGGGCTTGATTCAAGCAATGGGTTGTACTCGGGGTGAAGAATCACTCGAGTACTGTAAAATCTCTGAAAATGACATTGGCATGGAGCTCCTTAAGTTCTCAGGGCTCTTAGCCTCAGCCTTCTTACGGTTGGTGGCGCACTTTTAGGCGTTCAGAAATTATTTTGTGCTTATAAGTCAATCACACTAGCAATGTTTTGACGTGGTCGGGTCGATTCGTAGGATTTCATAGTACACTGTCCATGAAAGCTACCATACCGACCAATGAGGGAACGGGATCTCAACACTGATAGCACAATTATTTACATGGCTCTGAGTTCTTCGAAAAAACCACCTCCTTATAACTACTTATTCTTCTTGAATTTTATTGCCACTACATAAGGATGTCCGATTATGAGGCGTTTAGCTACGCAACAGGAAGTGATTATAGGATATTGTGTGAGGCTGATACTTGAGTAGGTTTTTTAGGACAAATGTGGCAGGTAGTAGCCAGGACTGGTCACTCAGCTCGATCACCGAATATTATTGTGTCGTATCAAAGATGCCAAGTGCTGCGTTGCCGTCGTGCTAATCTTTTTGACAATTCAAATCAACTTCTTTTCAATTGCTTCTTTCTGGATTATCCAGAAATGGCGATTTCATGGAGTTTCTGTGGTCTCAACTTCTTTACAGGGTAAGGATATGCATTCCAAAGCAATCACTGACGTTTGTTCAAGGAACCTGGGAGCTGTTGTCAGGCAAGAGTTTAGGGTTGTGCTTTGCTGCAGTTGGCCTGCACGCTATCTGGCCATAACAATGGTATTGCAAAGTGATCTTCGGCTGTGAGAACGAAGTATTTGTTAAGAATGGCGAGTTAATTGGCCTTAACGCAAGGTTTTACTTTGGTAATTTAAGGTCCTTAGCGTATTTACTATTCATTAAGTGTTAGCTCCCTTTTAGTGGAATTGTAAGAAATAAGGGCGAATCCTTGAAATTTGGATAGTGAGCTGAAATAATAGACTAGCAGCCGAATATTTGAGGAACGAGGATTTGTTTTTCAAAGCCAACGAGTTAAGAGTTTTAAGGTAGCATAAAAGCTCTTAATAAATGCTGCACTTTAAAGCTATATTGTATTGTTGTAAAAATATGTAAGAACATCGTAGCCGCACAAGTAAAAATCGGATACCATAGCGCTAACAAAAATACCAACTCAAATAATTGGGAACTGATCAATTGTAGCAATTGTATCACTTAGTCGAGCTTTAAGGAGAATTGACTAAAATTTCGCCTACACGCTTTTTACGTGTGTGTCGAGCCTGTCTCCATTTAACCTACTTGTTTGTGCCCAGCATTTGTGTCACTTTCTGTTAGTTATGGTGATGCATTTGCTTTTCCCCTCTTTTGTAGGTAGAGTTAGACTTAACAACTTTCAAAATATCTACAAAACTGGTCGTTTACGCTGCCTTTTTCTAAATTTAGGCATTCATAATAGTGGTAAATCGTTATTGATTGTCGAGACTATGTGGTGTTTGTGCTCCCTGAGTCATGCTTCGCATGGAGTACTCTTTCTTGATGATATTTCATAGAATAAAGTGGTAGGAGACAGGCGTTGCACTGTTAGTGATTGGCTTTTTGGCAGTCTTGTTTAGTGTTTGAATTCAATGTGAATACATAAACAAGTTTTCCAGGCCTGCTTCAGCATATTTCTGCTCTTTCAGATTAATGGCCTTTGCTTTGCGACCTGTATTGGATTTCATGGCAACTTCTTGTGCTTCTTGCTCTATTATACGGCACGTTTCTGTCAAGTCCTGGCCGACACTCGACAATCCTTGGAGAGAAAGGCTCGATGTTGACAAAAAAGCCACCTTCCCAAGTAACTACGTGGTTTCAAAGGAGGAATTTAAGTTTGTTGAAATGCTGAAGCCCATGGACACAGTTCCACCGCCTCCTGTTATCGATGCAACACCAAGTGGTTGGGTTCCGCCCCGACGTAGGTGCTTTACAAATTGCTACCAACGGTGCTCTTTGACGTTTTGAACTGAACAGGATAAGGGGCATATTTATAGAAATAGATAATGTTATTGGGATTCCTAGTGACAAGGAACTAGTTTGTTATTTTCCTAAGCTAGTATTTAGAATTCCCAACTGGTTCTATGTTACTTTGATTGACTTTGTCGACAGAAATGGGTTTTTAATCGACTACAACAAAATTAACTACTGGTGATTTTAGCTATTTATTAGGAGGCCTTGGAACAAAAGGGTTTCCCCTATTGCTGCCATCATCTTAGTACAATGAATTCATGGGCGTGGAATTTTATCAGGGTCAAAAGAGCTTGAAGCCACATTAAAAATCCTTTCAGTACGACTTGGGAGTGTAAATATCCCTTTTGTGAAGTTGGCTACGCCCAACTCTTCAAAGCTCATCTTGTCATCTCCGCTTCATTATTTTTTCATATTGATGCATCACTGCTCATAAAAACACCCGAAACGAAATCAGTGCCTGACCTTTTAGTGGCGCTGAATGATTGCGTATTTGTGACACGGATTCGGACTCAATTTTATGGATCTTAGACTCTATTGTAATTTACATGTTTGGTTAACTCTGAGCGCGAAGTGATTGATTTATCTATTTCGATTTCAGCTGAGGTCTGTTCGAAGAAGCCCTATACGGTGACCCGTTCGCGCAACCACATGCTCCCTGTCTACTTGAAGATTAAGGAAAGGAAAAGACGAGAACAGACCCATGGGAAAAGGATGCTGACCGTTATAACCAAAGTCGGAGGCGATATATCAGTAAGGAATCTGTCGTTTGTTCTACATTCTTTGTTATTAGTTTCTCTAAATTTCGCCCTTACTTTATGTGATTGGGAAATTCATTTCAATTGTTGTTTGTCAGGTTTATGAATGTGGAATTTTAAGCTCTGAGTAAAAGTTTGGTTTTCTGTCTCAAAGTTTGTGACAGAACTATCTACTTGGCTAAAGTTTTCAACCCTATCCACCGGCGGTATCGTAAATCCGTAAAAAACTGCATGTCGTCCAATTTTTAATTGAAATAGCACTCTAATTCTTTATAAAAATGACAAACTCAATAGGATTTCCTTTCCTCTGATAGAATCGTATATCTATGGTCTACTTTACTAATTGAAGTAGCTTCGCTTGTTAAAGCCGTAGGCTTGGTATTCTCCATCTTTTTTTCAGGCTCTGGCGGCAGAACTGGAGACTCTTCTGAAAGGGAAGTGCGAGACGGGAAGACTCCTCTGTCAAGTGGATGAAGTCACCCAAAAGATAATAATCGATGGGGTATTTTTGGATGAAGTTGCGGCTTTTCTTATTGAAAATGGGTTTTAACGATTATAGACAGTACTGCTCTCTGATATTCGTTATTTCACGTGTGTATATGCAATGGTATTTTGTATAATTTTCTTATTTGGGGTGTATTTGCAACTCTTTGTTTGTTGCTGCCTAAGCCTGTCTTAACTTTATTATGGAAAATGGTTTTATCTCTTACAACTGAATAAAGTGCAGGTTTTAGGTGAATTTATTATTTAAAAATTGAAGTCTATTAAGCACAATCATTTCTAACGTCACCTTGTTAAATGATAGATTAGAAAAAAAACCGCGCGCTATGCGGTGAGCGTTTAATGCGTCAATATTAATAGACGGTGAATGCTTCTCCTCCTCCCTAGTTTAAGTTCCCAACCTTACTCAAGGGATGACTGTGGGTTTTGTTTCTTAGGCCTTGTATTTATGCACAAATGAAATTCATCTAATCAAAAAGTGGGATCGGTTTCCCAGCCTAACCTTCACAGAGTTTTGGGCACTGGTTTCTCATCGCAAAGTTTGTATTCGTGGCCGAACGTGAGACTAAAGCCTCTCTTGTTTTCTAGAAATATGCATTTCTGGCATTACTGCGCTTGAAAACCAGGGTAACATATGCGCCCCTCAGTGGAACAGCGTGGGGAGTAGATGGTGGAATTGATTAATTAAATCTCGCTCTGAGGTCAGTGTTAATGTGGCCTGGGTAGATAAGGAATTAATTAAGAAGCGTTGTAAGGGATTTTTAGCCTTATTTACTGCTTCGCACAAATATGTCGCGTCAACACATTTTTTGAAAGATACATGATGTAGGGGGAAAGTTAACCGCCTTTATCATGCTTGCAGCTTTCCCTGTTTTGCAATGTTTTCACACGTTCGTCGAGCGGATGTGGCACGTGCGGATTGTGAGGTAAATAACGCTCGTTTATCGCAGGCAAGTGTTCCTAATTCCGATTTGGCATATCTGCTACGCATTTTAGACACATCAACGTGGTAATAGCACCACACATGCCATGCTAATGTGCATCTCAGGCCGCGTCTCACCCCTAACGCATCGTATGAAGATGTAGTCACGAGGCTGATAGCATCCAGCATTAAAAGTGAAAACCTTGGACCGTTAAGCGAGTGAGGACCTGTGTCTTATCCGAGCGCTGGGTGGGTGATTGCTGAAAGGCGGGCTAGCCTGACTTTCGGGGTGGTGATTGGAGCAGTAGAGGCATGGGTCCTCCCGTAAGCGCTTAACATGATAGGCTTATTGATGCTGAGCATTGTACCGCTTTGCATTCTGGAACCTCGTAATTCAGTGCCGTGCAAATAGTACTAGTCACCGTAAGACTGCAATTTATGTTGCATTCAGAAGCTTAGGAGGATAGCAAATTAAAAGTGCAAGTAGCTCCCAATTTGCATTTGATGGCGCAACTGCAACTTTGCTGGTGGAATTGTGCAACAGACGATTGTAGCAGATTGATGAGGCTAGTTACTACCAACAATTTGCTCTATACATTCGGGGGGGTATTTGAGCGGGAAGTTTACAAGGACGTTATCACGCAATCCTCAAACGTATACCCAATACGAGGAGAATACTTCCTCTTCTTAGTTTAGCCATAAGTACTACACTGCGTGCCTTACAAATTGTCGGAAATGCTCACCATCTTACATGCTTCCTCTGTATTGCTTTCAGATGCCGTATTAAACGATGGAGGCGCGCATAAGATCTCCCCTCTGCAATGCAGGTTGGGTGCATTTCTAATCTAATGATGCATACTTGGGGAATTGCTAGGCATCATAGATACCATTCTATTTACAAACATTACCAGTACATTCCGAGTCTTGTCTTATAATAACTACTGCACTACCAAAACACGTGTGATTCACAATCATATTAGGGGAAAAGGATAACGTATGCCACTCATGGAACAAAATAGTTTGACTACTGCAGGAGTCTTTTTAAACGCCGGAAAATAACCGAACTCAAAGTCTACTTTTGGCCTCAAAAATCAAGTGGCCCTGCTTTTATTTGTTTCAAGGTTGCAGATCAGGACAACATTGCACTATTTGAAGCATACCTTGATATCAGGTGTGATCTAAAAATTGAGCGGTTTCACGAGAAGGAGTGAGCTATTGAATACCGAGGGCTCTATATCCATTCTTTGCAAATGCTTTCAAGCTAGGGCGGATACCAATCTGGATGGTCGGCTTGGCTTGAACGGTAATGCAGTTGCATTTTTGGCTGTCCATTATCAAGCAATTTCAACAATCAATGCCTACCTTGCGGTTGTGTGCGTCCAACTGATTGGCGTGTGGGCAAACAAACAGCCTTCACCGGTGAACCAATGAAAATATAGGGAGGAATTCGCCAGCGGGCAATTCAGTTGGCGTACTGCGCACCAGCAGACACAGCGCGGACTTGCTTCATCATCATGAACGACCACAGGGAGCACTTCTTGAGAAAATTTAGAGAGATGGATATCGATAGCAGTGGCGTTCTTTCCAAGTCTGAAGTGAAAGAATGTCTCGGTGCTGCTGGCTTCGATAAGAAATTCATCAAGGTGAGATAATCAGTTAAACTGATTAGCATATTCATTATCTAATGCAATCTAAAACTAGTGGATGTGAGTACGTTGTGCATGGATAAACGTATGCGTAGAGCTGTTTCTATAGAACGAAAGGCTCAATCATCGGTCAAATCGGGTATCTAAACGTCCGATACATTCATAATAAATTGCCATTGGTTGATGGTAAAAATACGACGAAAAAATCAGATAATAGTTTAAAAAGAATAGCTGCTACACTTACAGTTCCAAAGAAGAACTTCACACATTCTTTTGCGTAGAGGTGCGCGATGGGATCCGTGTAAGGTTGGTATTTGCTCCACTAAAAATCATAGAGTGCAAATTTAATGACTTGTCTTTATTTAAAACAAGCGCGCCCGTGACTGTACTTTTGGCAGGTTCAGTTAGCCATCGACTGATCTGCAACCAGAACCTGTCTGACCCATACTTGGATGTAGAGCTAGAAAGTAGGTGGAAAGGTAAACCAACTAAAAGTAACTTTAATGGCCATCCATCCTTAATGAAACGTATCCTAATTATATACCTCCAGAAGTCAAGACCATCGATAATGCAAATCATATTTAACGTGATTCGAATTGTTCAATCACCACATTTATCCCTGTTTTAACTAACAATTTAACGCTATTGACACAGTGTCTTTCCGTCAATTTATGTTCCCTGTAATGTCAGCACTTGAATTACAGATTTCCCCTTAAACAGGTATGAGGCCCATTTTGAACGTAGTAGGCTAAATTTTAAGCCCAAGTAAGTTTATTTACTCACGGCTAGGTTTATCAGCTTTTAACTGTCAAATCAAAGAGTTCGCTGACATACCAGAAAAGTCACACCCAGATTAGTACTACGAATCAGTTTTATACATGGCTAATGATCTCATGTAATGGCAAGCTAAGGCATGAAATTAGTCCTTTACTCCCTTTGCTACGTCAGTACTGGATCTTCGTTCTTTTAACAACAAATATTACGGTTGAATGCAAAGCATTATGTGCTTTCAGAAATTTATGAAGAGATTTGACGCAGACGGTGACGGTAACATTACTGAGGACGAATATCTTCGTGTCGTTTGTGATCTACCGGAAGAAGAGCTCAAGTAGGTGTTGAACCAACTTGCCCTAAACCGAGTCAATGGTGGTAAAATACTACTTATAATAGCAAAAACACTTCATTCACAACGACTTATTAAGCTAAAAGGACTTTCTTGAATCATAAATCTTACTGCCATTGAAACTGGTTTGTTAAAAGTGTGATAGATGTTGCAATTGGTGTTGTGATTTTAAATTTATAGCACTTCTGCCCATAGAATAGCTTTTTGGCGAAACGTTTTCGACGATGTGGATAAAGACAAGTCTGGAAGGATCTCGTGTGTAGAGCTGTACAACCTTCTGAAGGACATGGGCTTCCCCGTAAAGGTGTCCGAACTAGAGGAGTGGATTCGGAGCCACGATAAGGATAAAGATGGAGAAATGGACTTCCATGAGTTTGTTGCTTTCATGTCTGATCCAACGCATCGAGAGTAACTGGCCAGTCTCATTTTAACATTCTGTATTCTGATACTGTATATACTGGCCCGGTGTTGAGTTTTACCGCTATCTCAATTCTTCCTGATGTGAAAATGCAACTCTCTCTTATTTCTATTGATGTGGATTGGATAAACAAAAGGCATTTTCACTTGAAATTCATAGCAATGAAAGAATAGGTTGAAATACGACCATTAATTAATATGAACAAATAAGTTGTAACTGTTAAAAGTAATCGTAGAAGATGATTAAAATTGACATTATGACCTGACCACAAGTCAGCTGTTGCAAACCTGTAAATTCTTACGACAATTATCGATGCAAACCCTTGCAACAACCGAGGAATAGATGCACTTGTTTGTCTTGCATCTCAATGAGTCTAATTCGTCACGTAGTTTGGGTAATTCAGGAATTGTTGACATTTGTAGAGTTATTTGTTAAATCAACCTCAATCAAAAACTGCAGACCACAGTTGAAAATGGGGAACGATTTTACCATCGGTGGGGACACGAAGTAAAGAGTATGTAATTATAACTCGTTGAGACGTGCCAACTCAAGTAAGCGACATTGGGACCACGCAAATAAGGACATTCAAGCAAAAGTCCTCCTTTTGATAGTGAGTGATTGGTAACTTTTCTTCACAATTAGTGTAAGATGGGAGGTAGAAAATATTGTACAGCAACCCATCAAATCTTCAAGCTAAATGCCGTTTAGAGCATTTTTGCATTTTAGTAAGTTTTACTTAAAAAGGCACCTTAATGAATCAGAATTTAGCTCACTTCTAGTGGAGCGACTTAATGTGGAATTTTGATAACACAAATATTGCATTGCGGTAATTTGCTTGGTAACCGGAGTTTTCTCATTCGGCGCAACACATAACCTCACAGTGGGAGTGAAAATCCAAGGCGCACATGAATGAGCCTTTTCAGTGATCGTGCGACCTCCGAAAGCATTTGACTTACAAACGAAACTGCTGACATCACGGCCCTATAAGACGTAGCCCTCAATCACACCATAAGGAGCACCAAATAGCAACTCTGGATAGACGTCAATACGGCATGAGTTAAGGTCCAGCCCAAATAAGTGATATTTCATTTCATGTGTGCTACTTCATCAAGATAGCTTCTACTAATACAAACTAAATACAAAACATTTAATTTCAGTAAAATGTTTTGAAAAGCCTACAAAATAAGTGAGTCATGCTCAAGTTATATATTGAAAAATCTAAAGGTGAACTCGATGTTTACACCCTGTATGCGCCAAAATCACATAAGAACAGTTCCTTAGAACGAACATAATCCGACATGCAATGCCAAAATTGTGCAGACTCGTACTATCCCTAGCGGTCTGCAAAATTACAAGGCAAATATCTTGGCAAAAACACAAAATACCCTAGCAGTGTGCACATTTTATAAAAGGCAACTGTTACCATGCGCCCAGAATACAAGCGATACGATGATGTCTATGGATAATGCTCAAGACAAAATTGAAAGTTGCATTACACTAGCTAATAATTTATTGCTAAAACTTGCGAATTTTTCTAGACAATACAAAAAGGAGGTGTTTTGAAATTAGTACTGTTTTACATCTGACCACATTGAATATGTGGTCAATTGTCAACCACGACATGACCTTCACGTGACATAACATTAATGCAAAGACTGGTCAGATTGAGCGATGTCCTCTCAAGAGGAATCCCAAGCTGGGGTACCGGTGGAAGCCAGCATTAAACCCAGTTCTCCAATCGCTTATGGAAATTGCACAGTTAATCAAACAGATCATATTGCTAACGATAACTACTCCCAGTGTTCTTCTTGTCAGGAATTCACTACACTGTTTCCATTCAGCTACAACATTTTTATTCCCGCAACGGACTCCAGCATCCATCAGTTTATGAAATTGAGGCACAAACTCACAACGACCTATCTACGATGCCGGTTGCGTATGGGAGTGAACACGTTCGATAGTGGATGTATATACGGGAACGAAAGATTGCTTCGAGTGGAGTCTCAAACTGAAGAAGAGCTCATTCAAGCAATTGATCGGTTAGATGAAGTCATTCCTGCATGGAAGGTTTGGCAACGCGGCAAAGTGGACTCTCAGCTCATCCGATGACCTGGGCTTTTCATTGTCAGTGAATTAACATCAATAAATGTTGGCATTAACGAATGAAATTCCGGTAAGATTTAACTATGTCATTTGCAGTAAATTCATTTAAACCGTATGCTTGATTTTGGTAAAAAATATCCCGTGTAACCGGCTTGCAGAGGACTTGGATCAAGATACTTAAACGTACAAAGGGAAGCTAATTATTTATCAATCCCAAAATATTTGATTTTATATAAGATAGGTTTTCGTCAGAGACAAGGATGCCATCGAAGTGCATTAAGTAAAGCAAAATTTTTACCGAGAGTTTCAGGTCGGTACGGAAGTGCTGGCATTTCAGGTCAATATTGAACAGTCATAACATACACCTGCCGGGCGTATAATTTGAACTTAACCGAAGCACGTATCACCATGGCTTTTGTCAATCGAGTTCTGAATTCGCAAAGTGAAGATTTTTCCGGGTATTAATAATCAACTGTAAGTAATGACGTATAGTGAAATATTCGGTTTTAAACGTCATAAGCGGGTTTCATTCGATAATGCCTCCAAAATATTCTATATTATGGCAATGCACACGTTTCAAAGGGCGTTGACCGCGTCGATGCCAATTTTCCATTGCAGCAGGAGGTTCGATCCCCATGCTGGCATAGGCTTCAACCTAAGGAATCACGTGAGTAGGTGGATTAAAGTACAAAGTTATGGTCCGCTTTAGAGCCTTTTTTGTGATCGTATACGTGCTTTCTATCTCCGACATGTCGACATATTGGTAAATTTCCTCACTCTGCAAGAGCACATTCTACATGGATTGCTGAGAAAGCGTAATGAAGATAGCGACTATTTATTTGCGGAAAGGACGTATTGGCTAACCCGAGAGGCTTCAAACGTTTGCACCTTTGACTTTGCCTACTAACTGCGTTCGAGTTATGTGTTAGCAGCATATATGCCAACGACATTTCACAAATTTAGCGCAATACTTACTTCGCTTTAATGAATAAAATAACCTGGATGAGAATTAGCACCATAAACAGGCAGAGGATGACTTCTTCACATTAGCAAAACACGCTTTACTGAACGAGTGGGTAATTAGGGTACTAATTCTAGGTATTGGCCAACCAGTTGTTTGGAAATTGTTAACTGTCAAACCAATGAAAACGCTGTTAAATGCAACCTATATGGATGAATTCCGTGCCATAATTTACAAAATATATTTGAAATAATCGTGTTCAAATCTCAAATAAATCACAAAATAAGTTTTAGTTTTCTAAAGAGGACACAAATCCTAGAAACTCGTTATAATTGAGCTTTCCATCCTTGTTAACGTCATAATCATCCATCCAATCCTTCAGCACGGGTATAAACTCGTCTCCTCCTGCGCCGCTAAGATAATTGCACAATTCGTTAAAGTCAATAACACCCGAATGATCGGTATCCAACTCAGTGAAGAGTTCCTTCCACCTTAATACGAAAAATAGATCATTGAAAGCGTCATTTCATTGTGGTGGAAGATGCTTATTTAGTCCATTTCACTTCAAAAAAAGTGCCAAATCACAACTTACGCTTCGATGGGTTGCGTGGAGATACCGAGAGCTATCTCATATTCTCCGAGATTGATGATTCCATCACCGTTGATATCAAGTGAATTCATTAATTTCTGGAATAGTTAGGTGGAAAAGCTTCACTTAATTCAAGATTATAATGCTTAAACCTTCGATGCAGTGGCAACTTTTTGCAATACGACTGATGATAACGTTTTTAGTTGACGTACCATTTCACTTAAAAGTACTTTGGGGGTATTAGCTCTCAATTTTTCTTATGCGTTCATATGCAGTAATTAGAACTAGTATATTACGAACGACACCGAGGTGCCTAAACTGGCTGATTTAAAAGTATTGCTCCACTCTTAGTTAACATTTACATGAAATGCCTAAGGGATGAGATATAGGAGAGACAACGAACCTCCGTTTCCGAGGCAGGGATTCCCTGAGAAGCCAGCGCAGCCTCCAGTTCTCCCCTATCTAATGAACCGCTGCCGTCCTTATCCGCACTTTTAAAGGCTTTGAGATAACGATGGCGCTGGCTAGACATGCCAGAATCTAAAAAGAGGCATTTACTCTTCACTCCTTTCCCAAACATATACATCTATCAGGAACTGGTACGTAAAATGAGGAAATGTGAGTACACGATACTGATTTTGAGGAAGATAAGTTGTTGGAAAATGGACTGGAAGAGTAATTAAATATTCCACACGGGATGTTTAAACATATTTGGGGTAGCGAATTTCGACTCACAGGTGAATGTTTAATGCTGCAAAAATGCTGTGAACTAAGAATAGTGGTAAGTACAAGAGCTGTAATTAAACCTGAAACGTGAGACCGAAACCGAGGCAATTAATTTATAACTGGGTTTTATGTTTATTAAACACCCACAGGTGTTGGAACATGACGGTGTTATCAAAGATACGCGCTGCGCATTGGAGGCACTTACCTTCACTTTAAGCTGAAAGATGGAGACCCGGCGATGCGACTTTTTATTAACCACATTGATTCCACATTTCATAGGCTAATTCAGAAGTATGTTGACTACAACTAGCACCACCACTTAAATCAGCCAGTGGTTTGGCTTGCGTCATGTGGTCTCGTGTAAGAGAATAAAGAAAGGCTACTTCATGAAGGTTAAATGTGAATTATGCTTCACGCGATGAATAAAATGAGAGTTTTTACTCCTCGATTACACTGCAAAACATTTTTGATAAAGGCGCCTTGAGCAATATCTTGCACTTTTTCTTACAAAAAAACCAGTAAATAATTTATTTTGGCGCACTAGTTTAACGTGTCAAATTGCATCACTACTTCAGGAATATCTGAAGTGCACGTAACATCTGGATGTCATTTGCTTTAAATCTCAAGAGCAAAGAAATATGCTAAGCAGTGCGCCCTTTCAATCTGACCAAAAGCTAAAGAAAAAGTCAGGATGTAATTGTGCATAATCCGTAGCCGAAACAAATCACATAAATGCCACTTATTAAACAGGAGAAATTTCACCTCAAGGGGAAAAATGCGAAAGTACTGAGCTTTATGAGACCAGTCTCAAATTGGCACCAAAACTACCAATGAATATATGGGGAACCTAAACCCTATGTTGAAATTGATACTAGAAGATGAATTTGTGGCATTACCTTGTTATTCGGACCGTCAATAGCGCACTATTGACCAAGAAGGCTCAAAAATGCAAATTTTAGGAATTTAAAAATCACGTATAGGACAAGAAGGACCTTTGCTGTTAAAATTCTTCATATTTAAATATTATTTAAAGCTATAGCATTATTTTGTTAAGAATATGCGTGGTCCAACAAACAATGATATTTTTTAGAAGAACCCTATCCTAGTTTGGGTAAAAAATGAATAACGGACAGAATTTTGGGTCTTCTAAAAAATCAAATCTTTTGTAGAATTAATCCCGAAAGCCCTCTGCCCCCGGGAATGTAAATAACTTAAAAGTTGCAAGATTTTTTACAAATTCTGATGACTTATTGGATTTACATGAATTTAATTCTCGAAAAGTTTAGCATAAGTATACTCCATCAAAACATGTTATTCAATGTATCCCTTGATGTAAACGGTTTGATAGACAGACATTTGGAGCTTTGATGATTAAAAACAGATCAGTGAACCATGGTGAAATAATCCACCCGCATTCCACTCATTTCAGCCGTCGAAATTCCGCTGGCAGAAGGACACGTGATTTCAGGCGTAAAGGAGTTAACTTATCTCCATTGACAAGGAGAGATGTAGTAGCTACCTGGCATAATTCAATATTTTGATAAACTGGATGTGTAACTACGCGGACACTTCAGTCACCGCAGCCCTTCCTTCCGCTCTGGGACATGATTTTCCAACTCTACTAGTAGTTTCCCAGCTCAGCTCTTCTGCACGAGAAAACTCGGAGTGCTATACATCAAGCCTAGGTTTCGTAAGATCGCGCTCATAAAAGTTTGCCTGCATTGGTTGAAGAAAACCTTTCAATGAAATTAAACGTTTTATTCTTAGTAAAAATTTAATCAATTTTCAAAATGCCAGTGGCAGAAATATAGTATTCTTATAAATCCCTAGTTCATAACTCCTGTGTTTGGCTATTATAAACAAGCTGATATAATTAGCGATTAGGGTGAATATTCCCGAATTCCGATGTTAAAATCATGTAACTTAATTGACTTTTTACCAATTTCTCTCAGAATCTGGACAAATAAGTGTTGAAGTTTCAAAAATACATACTTTTTCAAAATTTATGAGCGGTATTTTTTTGCTAATAACAGAGTGAGATTTGAAATGCTCCTCTGGCGTAAAAAATAGAAAACAAATGTTAGGTTTAGTCCTCAAGTGTGGCTATGAAACCAAGGAATTCTCTGTATTGTAATTTTCCATCTTTGTTCACATCATAATCCGCTATCCAGTCATCCAAGACAGGAACAAGTGAATCCATGTTGGCATCATCGAGGAAATGTTTTAGTTCTGCAACTTCAATTGATCCCGATTGGTCTTTGTCCAACTCTTCAAAAAGCTCCCGCCATCTAGAAGGCAAAAATTGCTTCTGAATGGTGAGATATCAATTATCAAGTTTAACTGACTTTAAATACGCTGTTTACAAGTTATGCTGATAAGCGGTTTCGTAAAATGCAGAAATGACATAAAAGTGACTAGGATATCGGCTGCATTCACACTCATTCCTAATTAAACTAATGTGAGTAAATAAGCAAAAACTGAAATGATGGCTGGGGTGAACTTACGCTTCAAGTGGTTGGGTGGATATTCCCAGCGCAATTTTGTATTCTCCCAACGTAATGATGCCGTCGCCATTAAGATCAAGTTGATTCATGAGATTCTACAACAAAATGTGTTTTTTTCTAGGGACGACGAAGAAAATGGCTGAATATTATTTAACAAGTATATAGTTCGTTTAATGAGACAGTGCAAGAAGAGTAAATATTTTGACACTTTTGGAACGCCATTATATGGACACTGTAGGTTCAAGAGGCTGCAGTTGCGTACTAATAACTACCGTGCAGTGATTTGATACCCTTCCAGCGACCCACTTAACTGCATGGGCTTCGTGGTTTATACTTCCGCCATGACGGTTTGACCTTTTGGCCATGTCCTAGCCTCCCTGCGCTTCTGTGCATTAATAAGAAACCTGTGGTGGGAGGGCTTATTGCGATTTGAGGGAAGACTGAGGGCGCTAAGAAACTTCAATAAAGGTAAATAGAAGGAATTTGACCTTTCGAAAACTAGCTTTGCTTACTGCCTAGACATTGCTGGAATCGTTCAATTTAAACTTCCTTCGGCCACCGCAAATTGGTTGTGCACAGTCTAAATTAGCAGCAAGCATCCTAGGGGGAAATACGCATCAAATCAAAGTAGCACGTGAACTGTTTTGGTGAATAAGTCATGGCATCTGTCTGGATTCGTCTGTGCTTAAAAAAGGTAAAAAAATTGGAAAGCTTTTGATAGGTGATTTAAGTTGAACAAAAATTGTCAAATGATTTGCTGAGGACAACAATACCTCTTACTTTTATCTCAATCCATTCACACATTAGTAATATTTCTTACTAAGACATATCTAGTGGAATTTATTTTGTCGGGTGTGTAAAATGTCAGTGACATCAGAAAAACAACTATTCAATATCAGTCACCATTGTGACCCGCTGAGTGGGCTTATATTAGCGTAGAAAATGCCTCTGAAATGCAATCACCGAGAGACTTTTATTTTCTCTTTACGGATCGCAAGTTGAAACTCACTTCAACCTTGTCAATTGATGGGTCAAGAAACTCGCAAAACTAACATCTAGCATCCAGAGATAAAATTATTACTCTCGATCGGACCCCACAGGGCTATTCATTCGTATTGAGTAAGTTCATTAAATATACATCGGGTAAAATCAAGAATATCACTGTAGAACCTATACTCACGTCAATTTCGGATATGGGGATCCCTCTAGAAGTCAATACGCTTTTCAGTTCGCTGCGAGTGAGGGTTCCACTTCCGTCCTTGTCCGCAGCTTTGAAGGCTTCCAAGTAGCGATGAGTTAATCCCATGTTCTGAAACCAGAAATGTTTTCTTTACATATCAGACAAGTAAAATCTTCATGTCTTTTATTAAACCATTATCAAAGAAGGTCATCGCCTTTTGCAAAGTACGATTTATCGACATTAATACCAGTGTGCATGAGTATCGATACATGCAATATACCTAAACTCAGAAAAGGGAGAAATGCGTATGGCAGGAAAGAGCACACAAAACAAACAGTACCATCATTAACGATGTAGGACTAAAACCAAAGCTTATGCAACTAAATTCACACCTATGCCCGCACGCAGGTAAGCAAAATGAAAGGGTGTGATTTACCTTGTTCTTTTATAACCAACAGGAACGTGGGTGGTTGCTACATGCCAATAACCAATCACTGTCTTCAATAGGCGATTTAGCAAAACATTTTATTCAGCTCGGAAGAGTACAAACAGAGGTGAGGTGATAACACGATAGGCGAGGTGCATACCTGCAGAGTGAATTAATAGACAGCTAAATTACAAGTTGGTGATGTATGAACCAATGTTTAAGGAAGTATAACAAAATTATGGTTATTCCCTCCTCTACGAGACCCAGTGATTACATTCATTCGGTGAAGTCATTTCTGCCCTTTAAAATGTGATTTTAGTCGCCATTATAACCAACTTAGTTTTCGAAATAAAAGTTACCAATGTTTTCTAAATGTTTTTCTGGGACATATTTTACCGATACACGTTAAAACAGTTCCTTACCATTTCTTAGTTTTTTAGGGTACTTCTGTTTAAAGAATATATTGTTTAGGTTTTTGTTTAATGGCAATAAGATTCCGTCGTTTCTACCATCCTCCCCCCTTTCCTAATCATTTGATCAAGATTGATTTGTTGAGGATATTATGAATGACTTGAAAAGGGGCTTATGAAGGCAGTAGAAGTCTTATGGACCACCGAGATTTTTGTGCTCTGAAGGGAGTTATGAAATTCGCCGAACTCGTCGGCCTTGTTCCTAAAAGGTGTCCCAAAAATACATTTATCACATGGTCCCTCTTGTTGTTTTCAACACTAGCTCACCTTAGGTGCTATTTTTTTGCACAATGTAGTTGACACTAACAGGCAATCATTACCCCCGTTTCCGACCGGTGGGTCGTCTCCATAAGGATGCATTTAATTGTGATGGGCCATGATTGAATTCACAGAAGAATATGCAATGCAAAGTAATACGGTGATAAACTGATCCCTATGACTAGGAACCCACCATTACTCCAAGTGTAATGGAAGTTCCGTTCTACTCATGGGAATGGCATGAGCCTGAGTACTGCACTGAATCTCTTCCTTAATTGGTATTTAGTTGGTAACATTTGGCAAAACGTGCATAACTTAATGAGGAACTCCTCGTGCACAAAGCTCGCATCGGGATCAGTACTTCTCTCATTTCTTTAAGGGTATCCGTTGGGATTATCCAAAAAGGCAGTGCTCACCAGATTGCTGCCATTTTCGGTTAAGCCTAGATTGCAAAACAAGGTATATGTATTGCCCTACTGTATAATGGAATCATACTGCTGTTTTTCTTCGTACCAGCAAGACAATAAGCGGTCTAAAACTATCACTGTTTCCAACCAAGAAAACGTTCAATGATCTCGCCTAGCTGTGAATAGCCTCAGTGACAGATTATTGTCTTAAATGTAAGACAGTTGTGAAAGTAGCGAAAATTTACTGCCACATAGCATTAACCTCATCCAAACGCTTGTTTAACTTGGTACCGGGGTAAACAATGACATGTTCTCTTCCTTCATAATTTTCCATGCGAGTACGGTATCTACAGAGTAGCTCGGTAACATTTGGGAACAATCTCAAATGTGTTATGAAGGATTTGGAAAACCTTGAGATTTACTGTTAATTTGACTGCAGTAGAGTCAAAGTGGGTTTGTATGACATTCCTTCTAGTTTGCTCAGATCGTATAAAAATTAATGAGTCACTGGCATAAAGGCACGATGGAGACAAAGAGAGTTCTCCTAACAACTGAAAAGCAGTTCACC